CGGTCCTGGGGAAGCTTTTTGAGAGAGTTAGCCTGGCACATGTCCGCGAGGGGCCAGAAGGGGAGATCATGCTCAGGGGCAACCAACACGGGTTCATTCGAGGCAGGTCCTGTCAGACCAACCTGGTGGCCTTCTACGACCAGGTCACAAAATCCCTGGATGCAGGGGTCGCAGTGGACGTAGTCTTTCTGGACTTCAGGAAGGCCTTCGACACCGTCTCACCCCATTCTCATTAAAAAACTGGGGGACTGTGGCGTCAACACCTACACGGTCAGGTGGGTCGCTACCTGGCTGGAGGGCCGCACCCAGAGAGCGGTGGTGGACGGGACTTATTCGACCTGGAGGGCTGTGGGCAGTGGGGTCCCCCAGGGCTCGGTCCTCGGGCCCGCACTGTTCAACATCTTGATTAGCAAGTTGGACGAGGGGGTGAAAAGCACCTTGTTCAAATTCGCAGACGACACTAAGATGTGGGGGGAAGTGGGCACGCTAGAAGGGAGGAATAGGCTGCAAATCGGACCTAGACAGGATACAGGGGTGTGCGGATGAGAACAGGATGGGTCTCAACACGGACAAGTGCAAGGTGCTGCACCTGGGGAGGAAGACCCAGCAGCAGACCTACAGGCTGGGGACCTCCCTTCTCGTCAGTGCAGAGGCAGAAAAGGATCTTGGGGTCATTATTGATGCCACAATGAACACAGGCCGACAGTGTGGGGACGCGGTCAGGAAGGCCAACCGCACCTTGTCGTGCATCCACGGATGCATCTTGAGCAGGTCCCAGGAGGTGATCCTCCCCCTCTACGCGACACTGGTCAGGCCGCAGCTGGAGTACTGCGTCCAGGTCTGGGCGCCGCACTTCAGGAGGGATGTGGACAGCATGGAGAGGGGCCAGAGGAGGCCACTTGCATGATCGGCGCAGCAGGGCAGGCCCTACGAGGAGAGGCGATGGGACCTGAGCCTGTTCAGCCTCCTCAAGAGAAGGCTGAGGGGGATCTGGTGGCTGTTCATAAGCTAGTCAGAGGGGACCAGCAGGCATTGGGGGAGTCCCCGTTCCCCCGAGCACTCCCAGGAGTGACTAGAAATACCGGTCACAAGCTGGCAGGGGGTAGATTCAGACGAGACATCAGGAGGCGCGACTTCACTGTCAGGGTGGCTAGGATCTGCAACCAACTTCCAAGAGAAGTGGTGCTGACTTCTACTCCTTCAGAAGGAGGCTGGATGAACACCTTGGGAGCCCCATCTCTGCCTGAATTAGCTTTTGTGACCCTCCTTTGCTCCCATGGGTTTAACACTTGCTTGCTTTTCTCTCCTTGCACGGCCCCTTCTCTCTCCCCTCTCCCTTGTCCTTTCTATTCTAACCTCTCTCTTCGTCCCCTTGCTTTGCGCACGGACGTCCTGTCGCAGCATCTGATGAACTGAACGTGGGTGCGCAGCAGCTTGTGCTTTCTCTCCATATCATCTTATTTAGTAGGTGTGTATCTGTCCTGCCTCCTTTCCCTCGAGACATCCATCCTCCTTGTCTCCCTTGCCCAGCTGGCGCGCCTGCATCTTCTGTTCCTTCCCTCTCTGCCATCAGTGGGGTCTTTCTCACTCCCCTCGCTGGATCAGCTTCTTTGTTTGCAGACGGGTTGTTATTTCTTTCCTGTTCTTATCACATCGTTTGTTCTGCTTTTCCCCAGCTCCTTTTTGGTGCCTTCGCTTAATCTTTCGGCTGAGTGCAGGACTGCCCGAGGGCTGATTCTGGCCTGTGGCACGCAGCCTGTGGGGCTCCAAAGTGTGTCAGGACGTTTGGTGGCGGGGCAGCACTGGCTGTTAACTCTGCCCTTCACTGCTGACATCCTGCTCGCGGGGCAAAAAGTCTGATCACTGCTGTTTTTGCCCAGCCAGCAGCACTACGTGAGATGAATATGTGACCCGCCAAAGGCCTCTGCAGCATCCGTGACCCCCCTGGCAGCAGCAGGATGTTGGTGGGTGCCAGGGCAGGTATCCTGGGGGCAGTTGCAGGTGCAATCTGGGGCTGTGTCGGGGGCGACTGTTTTGTGGCTCCAAGGTTTGGGGCCACTGGCTTGGATGGGGCTGATCCTGCCTTGTGGACACAGCGCTCAGGGTTGGACGCTAAATGCAATTCCTGGGTTCTCCAGCAGCCCCGCGTGGGCACCCGCCGTGGCTCCCAGTTCACGCCCGTCCTGTAACCGTGGCCATATCGAATATGTGTTGGGAATGGGAGCTGGGTGACGGGTGGAGTCTCAGCCTCCGCCTTGCCGGGACTGCTTCTACTTTCTGTGGGTATCGAGGTGCCCAGTGGGGCGGAGGGGGTGGCTGGCACGGCACCCACATGGTCTGGAGCGCCAGGGCTGGGGTTCCTGGGGGCAACAGGGGCACAACCCCAGCTTTGTCCTGGGCTCTCTGCAGCATCCGTGACCCCCCTGGCAGCAGCAGGATGTTGGCGGGTGCCAGGGCAGGTATCCTGGGGGCAGTTGCAGGTGCAATCTGGGGCTGTGTCGGGGGCGACTGTTTTGTGGCTCCAAGGTTTGGGGCCGCTGGCTTGGATGGGGCTGATCCTGCCTCGAGCAGGGCGGGGACTGGACGTGACCCCACAGCTCCCTGCCAGCCCCGCGGCTCTGGTTCCTATGATTTCTGTGAACACGAAGCTACTAGAGCTGTGGTGCCTGGGCTATGTCTAGAAGAAAAGCTTGTTGACTGCAGCCAATTGGCAGAACGGCTCACTACATCCCTCTGCTCATGCCTGCAAAGCTTACGCCGTGGTGTTGCATACGCTCAGCTCCTGTACTCTGCACGGCTGCGGGACTCCTCTGTGGCTCTGGGCAGGTTTTGTTACATGGACCTATTCCTATTGCCCAACGTACCGTACACCTGCCTGTACACCAAGAGCAAGCTGCGTCCGCTGCCTGTCCCTGCTTTAGTCCAGGCTTTGGTGGGGAGTGGAGATTTCTGCTTCTTCCACCGAGGTGCGGGGGACCAGGTGCTGCAAGTAGTCAGCGTTGCCTGCAGTCTCTCTAACATCAGCACAGAGCCGACCAAATCCTCGTTCCTATTTCACGTGGGATTTCACCGCCAGCTTCCTAGACATGGGGCCAAGGCACTGAAACACACTGCCTCTCCCCCTGTCGCGGGGCGGATGTGGGGCGTATTGACTTCCTTTTTCATAGACATCAGGGCTGGAAGGGACCTCGGAAGATCATCGAGTCCAGCCCTCCGCCCAAAGGGCAGGAAGTCAGCTGGGGTCATAGGATCCCAGCAAGATGAGCATCCAGTTTGCTCTTGAAGGTGTTCAATGTGGGCGCTTGAACCACCTCCGGTGGCAGGCTGTTCCAGACCTTGGGGGCTCGGACAGGAAAGAAATTTTTCTTTATGTCCAGCCTGAAACGATCTTGCAGTAGTTTGTGACCATTCGACCTCGTCATCCCTTGGGGCGCTCTGGTGAACAAACGTTCCCCCAGATACTGGTGGTCACCCCTGATAAACTTATAGGTGGCCTATAACCCTAACCTTTTTCCTTGACTTGATGACCCCAAAGCAATGCCAGCTGGCTGATCAGCTTTGCCATTGAGATTCGTTAGTGGTAATCCAATTACCGGTGCGCGTGTGGACGGGTGTGTTTGGAGGCGGGGGCTGCCTTGGATACAGACACTTGTGATTCTCTTTGGGAAGCCAGTTACGGGCCATCTAGGCTTGGTTCTTGTTTGACTTTTGAATAGGAGCCATTGCCAATTACTTGTGCAATTGGGATGGCGTCTTCATTCCCATGATGCCCCGAGCAAACAGTGCCAGGTCCGAGAAGGAAGCTGGCAAGAGGATTGAACAGTGCTTGACCTTTTTCTCCTTTGTTTGACTGAAACCTGCCCTTGATGTTGTATTTAAGGGCGTGGTGGGCTGGGGAGGTGCCCATCTGCTGCAGGTAACCTCTCAGTGTAGTGGCCATCACGCTGTCTGACCCCGTGCCCACAGCCGAGGAACCCCAGATCTCAGCTTCAGAGCTGGGGTCCAGGCATCCTTCAACCCTGCTGGCCAAGGGAAGGCCGAGCTCCCCCCATGCAGTGGGTCAGGCGCCTGGCGCTGGAGATCGCACTCCCCCGGGCCAGGGGGCTGAAGACTCCCAGAGGCTGGGAGAGCCTGAGAGAGTTTGCAGCGTATTTGCCTCCCCTGTATAATGGGTGCATGGCCTGAACGGGTGCTGGGGTCTGTGCAGCTCCCTTGGTGATGAGGTGCGAATGGCCGAGTCGAGGCAAAGGCAGCCTGTAGTCTTGATGGTAGTCTTATGTTGAGTTTAGATGATGGTCTTGGGCTGGTTTAGGCAGGGCTGGACTGGATGTGACCCTGCAGCTCCCTGCCAGCCCCATGGCTCTGGGACTCAGTGATTCTCTATGATCTCCTCACTGGAGCTGGTGCTCTCTCCTCTCTCCCAGCGGCACCCTTTGAAGGCTGTTGTGGCCCCCCAGTTGAGAACCACGGCTGGGGAGCCCCCTCCCTGCCCTTCGCCCGGCTTCCAACGCTGCCGCCCATTCCAGGCACGGGTCTAGGGCAGAATTGCAAGAGGGCCAGAGCCTGCAAGGGTTCGGGCACTGCCTTCCCCCGGCCCCACACACCAAATCGGGGCGAGATGCCGGGCAGCGCATGTAGAAGCCGTAGGTGGGACTGTTGCTTCCTGGTGCCCCTGGGAGTGCTTGCTGCCAGGTGCGACGGAGGCCGGGAGCTCGGTGGGCTTCAAAACGGGACCTTGCTGGGGAAACAGCCTCCTTGGGTGGTGTTGCAGGGGTGAGCAGGAGCCCTCTTGCTCCTGGACGGAGCAGCGAGGAAGGGACCTGCCCCTCCGTCGGTCGTTCTGTAGCCGTGCGCTGCAGCGGGTCTCCACGTTTCGCTTTGCAGTAGGAGCCCGGGTCTGAGTCCATGCCTGTGCCCCCTCCACGTCCGACCTGCCGGGACTGTGGCTGCCTGCGTCCGTGTAGAGCTGCCTTCTAGGCCCCGTGGAGAAACCTTTTTCTGATGTCCGGTGTCTCTCATCCGCAGGCCGCCGCCATGGCGCTGGCAGAGAAGAAGGGCGGGTTGCTGCGGAAATCCTCCGCCTCCAAGAAGCCGCTGAAGGAGAAGGTCGTGCTCATGTACGACGAGATCTTCATGGTAAGAGGCCGGTGGGTCCTGGTGAAACCGCTGTCTGTCCAGGCAGAGTTGCTGGGAGGGGGTCCCAGCTGGGGTTTGGCACAGCTCTGGGGAGGCTGGACTCTGAGCACCCCGGTGCTGGGGAGCCGCGTTGGCTCTAGCGACCGGCTGTGGCAGCTCACGGGGTCTCACAGGAATGTCCTTCTCTTTCAGATAGACGACCCCAGCAAGCGCAACCCGCGGTTCTGGGAGGAGCTGTTCCTCATGAAGGTGATGGCAGGGGGGACACTTGCCCCCCGTGCCCTGGGGTTTTCCACGTGCCTGGCAGGTTTGGCTGCCCCAGCTCTTCCCATTCCCCTCGAGTCCACAGCAGCTGGGGAAATGCATTTGTCATGAACCTGGTTGTGTTCTGGGGGCTCGTGGGGTATCATAAAGGTTTTTCTGCCTTTATTTCCCCAATAGGGCACATGTGGCCCGGCTGAAAAGCCTACGTTCAGCTGCTCCACGTAGGTTATTGCTATCACTGCACAGGTTGTGTTATTCTGCCTGCAGACACCTGTGTGGTTTTGGACGTCAGAAGATCTTGGGGTGCAGACTTAAGGAAAGAGAGGGCACAACTGCTGCGTCTCTCTTGCTATAGTGGGCAGTGCTGGTGGGGGCTGTTTGTGATGTGTCCAGGATCTTTGGATGCCAGGCTTTGGAGGTTCAGGGTCCGCAGCAGTTGGGGCTGACAGATCCAGCAGGAAGGCTGGACACCGAAAATACTGGCAGAGGGCTCGGGCGTAGGCAGATGAGAGGGGAGGAAACTGCTTGTCTCTGTTCTGTCTCCAAGCTTACGGTCAGTTTTTCTTGTCTACATCTTTTCTCCTTTTTATCTTTCTGTGCTTGTCTCTTTACCAATTGCCCATGGTAAGAGCGATCTCTGGGCAAGTGGTATCCCCGGCTAGCCCACTCTGGAAAGCGGGACCTAAAATTTCCTCCACCCCCCAAAGGCGGAGTCCCTGCTGCAGCTGCGAGGTCTGGTATAAGGGCAGTGGTGCAGAGGCTTGCAGGGATGAGGAGTTATTCCAGGGCAAACCTTGATCTGCTCCTTGGGACAGGCAGTGTAACAGCCGGGGGGAAACGTGGGGCTTTGGGGATGCTCTGCTGAGGGGTTGTGATGGTGTTCGTTGACCTTCCTTTCTCTGTAGGTGAACCTGGAGTACCTGGAGGGGAAGCTGGAGGCTCTGGATGGCGAGGAGCTCATGAAGATAAAGGACAACATTAACTGCTTGTTCCAGCACTGCATCCAGGCCCTGGCAGAGGAGCACCCCATCAGGGTGGTCAACGCGCTGCAGGTATCTGCTGGGGACAAGCTCCGCTCGGCTTCTCTCCCTGCCGAGCTTCAAGGCACCAGGGATCCTGTCGGACATGGGGACCAGGAACTTGTTTTGAAGCTGGGCTCTGGGATGATGGAGGATGGGGTGGGCCTCGGGGGAGAGACGGGCTCCCCGATGCTCAGGCTTGCTGTCCTTGGGGTCTCCCAAGGGGAACACGGTCTCCCTCTGTCCTTGGGGATCCCTGACAGCCAAGATAAAAGGGCAGTGAAATCTGTCAGCAGACTTGCCTGGTGTTACGGCTCTGCCCTTGGGGTCCTTAAATAGGCAGAACGTGATTCTCTCTGCATTCGAGAGAGGATTTTTTCTGATGGGGGCTCTAACCGGTGTTGAACGCAGGGTCCAGCCCCTCCTTGGGGTCCCCAGCCAGCTTTGCCCAGGCTTCCCCGCTCATACATGGTTCTGGCTGTGCACCTTTGCAAGACAGCGAAGGTGACTGTGGGGAGGAGATGCAGCAAAGATGCCTCTGTATGGAGCACTGGTTAGCTCAGGGTGGGACAATGCTGGCCGAGATACTGAGATTTGGGAACCTGAGGGTGATGGAGCAGCTGGGAGGGGCAGGGTGTTTAGGTTGATGGTGGTCTTTGGCATCTGGGCCGTGAGCAGGGCTGGCCAGGGGCAGTGTGGGCATGGCCCGACTCTGCTACTCCCTCCCCTCTGCCCCACACAGACGCTCTGTGCCTTGATTCGTGGTGTGCACCAGAAGAACAAATCCACCTCGGGCTTCGACATCATCAACATGCTCATGGGATTCGACAAGGCGGAGCTGTGCATGAAGGTGAGATGCACGGAGGGGCCGGCGGGAAGACTGCTCCGGGGCTCAGAGCAGAGCAATTCGTGACTGACCTGGCATGGTGGCGGAGGCCCCTTTCCCTGAAGTTTAACTGCGTGGTTTAGATGCATTGGCCACGACGAACAAGCCACATATGGGCATTAGCTCATCCCAGGCCATTGCATCTCAGCCTGGTCACTTGGGCTTGATTTCTGTGCCTGTCGCCCTCCTCCTGGCATTCTCAGCGCCCCCCGTCGTAGTGTAGATGGGAGGTCCTGCATGCCTTGCAGACTCCCCAGAAGTCCCCAGGGTCTCGAGGAGCAGAAATGTAGATGATTAACTGTGGGGCAGCAGGGCGTGGGGATTTATCCCCCGGCAGCTGCTCTGGGGTGGCGGCCGTGTACTGTTTGCCCTGCAGGGCATGGCAGCTGGCCCTGGCAACTTTGCTCTCTGTGGTGCAGGGCTAAGCCAAGCTATGATGCAGCTGGGAGGCAGTTAATCCCCACTCCCCTGACCCTACAGGAAGCTGCCTGCAGCCCTGCTTCCTTCCTCTGAGCAGATGAGCGCTGTTGCTAGAGCTGCATTTTAACTGTCCATCGGCCAATTGTGCCGCTGCTATATTAGACATGTGTTACACTGATAGTGGTCGGAGGTTTGAGCCCACTGGCCTCATGAGAGCTACCATGGACTGGGTCAGAGCCCAGGTCCATTGTGTCCAGTCTTTGGTGTCACATGGCCGCAGAGCAGAGGCTGGAAGGAAGAGCGACCTGGGTCTGAGCAGGGTTTTCCTGCTTCTCTCTCCCTTTCAGCCTTTAAGGTCCAGGTAGGTCTGATGCAGAAGCCTCACTCCCATGCTCCATAGTGACCAATGCCCCTTTCCTCCAAGCATATGTCCGACCCTGCGTGAATCTGGCTGAGCTCTCAGCTCCCACCACATCTGAGGGCCACGAGCTCCCCCATTTAGTCCCAGACCGGGGGAAACGGAGCATCCTGGTGTTCGTCTTAAACTGCCAGCCTGCTCGTGTCAGGCCATGCCCCCCCCCCCCCAAACTTTTCTTCTGGGGGGAAAGTCAGGCCGTCCCCCCCCCCCCCCCAAACTTTTGTCTGGTGAGAGACAATCAATGATAAATTGCTAGTGACTTTTACTTTACCATGAAGTATTTTGTGCGAATCAGCCAGGAGGTGTCAGTAGCCCTCAGGGGCCGCAGCGGGGCTTGAACACCATCCCGTCCCCCCCAGTGAGAGGGAACAACGCAGTTCTCGCAGACCGTGTGCTGCAATTATGCAGGATGTTATTAACACCAAGACTTGGTGGTGAGGCATGGATGAGCCCCAGGCAGCCATCAGGGCACGTCAGATGCACACCACCACATTGGCTTCATGTATAAGCTTGGCCAGGGTGGGTTTTGCTGGTACTATGGAGAGAGCATGCTGTGGTGAGACCCACAGTCATGCCGTGCCACTGCCTGTAACCCAGTGCTGGCTGCTGGCTTGTGGGAGCCCGTGATAACCATGCCTTCCCCTCCAGAATCTCATGGAGAGCTTGGACGCTCTGCTCTGCGCAGAAGGCTCCGAAAGCCTGAAGAGCTTGTGCCTGAAGCTGCTCCTCTGCTTGGTTACGGTAAATCACCCCGTGGGGCATTTGCTGGGGGGCTCCAATCATCTGCCCCTGGCAGGCACAGGCAGCTGGTGCCGGAGGGGGCTTGAGGTGCCTGTGAGGGCATGGGAAGGGTCCTCCAGGGCCGTGTGTGACCCCCTTGACTGGGGTCACACACACAGGTGACCCCAGTCACCTGTGTGTGTGTCACCTGGTCCCACCTAAACCAGCTTCCACAAAATGCTTTGGAGGGGACCAGCAGGATGGAGAGAGAAGGGAGTCCAGGAGTGGGAGAAGGAGGGTACTGGGGGCAGGCATGAGGTACCTGGGGAGAAGAGGCTGAGACAGGCATGGGCATGGGTGGATCTAGGATTTTGCCAAGGGTAATGCAGATCCCCTAGAACACGACACCCACGTTTTTCTCCAGGTAAAAAGATGGTAGAAGCTGTACTAGCCTGCTAGGGGCTGGAGCTGTGTTACGCAGTTTTTAAGATGGAAGCAAAGATGCACGGGACTTTACTGGAATGTGCCTGATGAGCTGGATTTCACATGAAGTCTGACAAATGCACCAAGCCAGGCCAGAGCAGTCAGCAAATACTGCTTTATCAGTCCTGCCATCCTTACAGTTGAATGCACATTTCCTATTCGGGTTCATAAAGCAAAATTGTGCTTTCTGGAGCACATTGACAGTGCACCCAGTGTGGCGCTGTCGGTCATTTCCATGTGGGAGTTGCTGTGACCGCACCAGAGTTAAGGTGTTTAGCTAGGACTGCCTGTGGGGCTGCAAAACAGAAGAGAGGGCTGGGAGGCAGCAAAACGGCCAGGGAAGGGGCAACCTGACTAATGGAACATCGAGGCCATTAGAAAAGAGAGAGGGTCGTTAGCACCTGAGCTGAGCAGGAATCAGGTATGTGATAATAAGCCAGGACACCTTCAGCCCTGCCAGAAGGGAAATGCCACTGCCCTTCCAGGCAGTTGGTTCTGAAGTTTAGGTAGAGCAGGGGCCAAAGGGGGTGCAATTGCCAACCCCCGGATCCACCTCTGGGTGAGGGCAAGGGTCCCTCTCTGCACCCTTCCCGCTGGGCAAAAGGGGAGGCACCACCTGGTGTTGGGGTGGGGGGGGGCTTCCCTGCAAACCTCTGGCTCACAAGGGACCCCAGCCGGACCCCCTTCAGCTGCATGAGTTTCTGCTACTCCTGCCGTTCCCACACGGCTGCACAGAGGAGGTCCCCACGCACCAGCTGTGATGTGGGCAGTAGGTGCAGGGCAAAGGCAGCCTGTGCTTGCCCCTTCTCCCCTCTCCCAGCTCTGGCCCATGCCTGCCCAGCCTCATGGCTGCATGGGAGTGCCCACCAAAGTGGGCGACATGTCTTGTCCTGGCACAGAAGCTGTAGCAGCACGCTGGAGGTGGGGTCGGCAGCGAGGGCGTTCAAACACTTTCTTTGTATGCAGGTGACAGACAACATCAGCCAGAACACAATCCTGGAGTACGTGATGATCAACAGCATCTTTGAAGCTATCTTACAGGTACGCTGAAGCAGAAAGCACTTTCCCCAGAGCTCTCCACCCTCCACTCGCTGCTTTTCCACCAACGCTCCCTGACGTGGCGTTTTGACTCCTAATGTTTGGAGCTGAGTTGCAAATTTTGATCCCTGCTATCGCCTCACTCCAGTCCCTTGGCTTCGGTCTCATTTGGGCTTTATGGTGTTCACACTTCAGGCTTTGCTGCTCAGGAAGGAACAGAAGAGCTTTGCGGGCCTGATTTCATGGCAGATGCTAGAGAATCACCAGCTTGGAAAGTCAGCCAGTGTAGTCAGCCGTTTGCCATCCTTGGATAAGTTAGACTTTGAAGGTGAGAAACTCGACTGGGAAAATGTAGCGCCTGTACTGGGTGTGTGTCCATAGCACAGTGTAAGATGCACGCTGGGAGGCGGGTATGTAACTGGTTAGATATTGTGCTCAACCAGTAGTTGTCAGTGGCTCCATGTCTAATTAGGAGGCGGTATCACATGCAGTCCCCAGGGGTCTGTCCTGGGTCCCGTGTTGTATAGCTTCTTCATTGATGATTTGGGTGATTGTGTTCAAGCACATGTTTAGCAACTTGGCAGATGACACCAAGCTGGGTCAAGTTGCAGATGCTCTGGAAGGCAGGGCTGGGATCCAGAAGGGCCTGGAGAGCCTGGAGAAGTCCAGAAATCAGATGCGGTTCAGCAAGGACAAGTGCAACGTACTTCCCTTGGCGCAGAATAGTTGTGTGCATCAATCCAGCCTGGGGAACAGCGGGCTAGGCCGCCGTGATGCAGAGAAGGACCTGGGGAACGTGGAGCACGAACTGAATATGGGCCAGCAGCATGCTCTCGTTGCCGAAGCCGTCAGCAGCCTCCTGGGCTGTACGAACGGGAGCGTTGGTGCAGATCCGGCGCAGGGATCTCCCACTCTTCAGCACCGGGGAGGCCTCCCCTGGAGCCCTGTGCCCAGCTCTGGGCCCTGCACTTCGTGGAGGACGTGGACAGGTTAGAGAGAGTCCAGCGCAGAGTGACAGCAATGACCAATGGAGGTACGATGGACGAGGCCAGGCTGAAAGAGCTGGGTGACCACGTCTGGAGGAGAGAAGACCGGGGGGTGGGGTTTGATCACAGGCTTCAAGTCCCTGCAGGGTGATGACAGAGGATGGAGACGGGCTTTCTCTGTGGCCGCAGGGGACAGGACTAGGAGCAACAGCTTCAAGCTGCAGCAGGGGAAACTGAGGCTGGAGATGAGGGAATGTTCTGGCTCTGCAAGTGGTCCAGCACTGGAGCGGGCTCCTAGAGAAGCTGTGGCGTCTCCCTCCCTGGATGCTTTCCAGAGCAAACTGGATGGACATGTGGCTGGGCTGGTTTAGTCGGGGCTGATGCTGTTGTGAGCGGGAGCTAGACTAGATGTACCCTTGTGAGATCCTTTTCAGCCTGACTCTCCCCGATCCCACAACGTATCCTCTTGTCTGATGCTTAGAGGCGAGGGATGGGCTTTGCCCTCTGCAAAGGTGTGAGCGAGAAGCTTGTTGCTGGCTGGATGCTCGGTGGTGACCAGCGATCAAACAATCTGTTCACCCAGGGGAGGCACTGCCAGGCCCAGGGTCAGCAAGAACCTAGTCAGGGAAGTTCTGGAGGGACTGGATGTGTTCAAATCAGCAGGTCCTGACAACCTCCACCCCAGGGTGCTGAGGGAATTGCAGAGGTCATTGCGGGACCCTGGCACGGCTTTACGAGCACTCGTGGTGCTCTGGCGAGGTGCCAGAGGACTGGAAAAGGGCCAGTGTGGTCCTCATTTTCAAAAAAGGGAGGAAGGCGGACCCAGGAAACTACAGGCCTGTTAGTCTTACCTCGGTCCTGGGGAAGCTCTTTGAGAAAATTATCTGGGAGCACATCTGCGAGGGGCTGGCAGGGAGATCATGCTCAGGGGCAACGAACACAGGTTCGTTCGAGGCAGGTCCTGTCAGACCAACCTGGTGGCCTTCTACGACCAGGTCACCAGGTCCTTGGACACGGGTGTCGCGGTGGACATAGTCTTTCTGGACTTCAGGAAGGCCATCAACACTGTCTCTCACCCCATTCTCGTTAAAAAACTGGGGGACTATGGCGTTGACACCTACACGGTCAGATGGGTCGCTACCTGTCTGGAGGGCCGCACCCAGAGAGTGGTGGTGGATGGGTCATTTTTGACCTGGAGGGCTGTGGGCAGTGGGGTCCCCCAGGGCTCGGTCCTCGGGCCCGCGCTGTTCAACATCTTCATCAGTGACTTGGACGAGGGGGTGAAAAGCACCTTGTTCAAATTCGCAGATGACACTAAGATGTGGGGGGAAGTGGGCACGCTAGACAGGAGGGACAGGCTGCAATCGGACCTGGACAGGTCACAGGGGTGGGCGGATGAGAACAGCATGGGTCTCAGCACTGACAAGTGCAAGGTGCTGCACCTGGGGAGGAAGAGCCAGCAGCAGACCTACAGGCTGGGGACCTCCCTTCTCGTCAGTGCAGAGGCAGAACAGGATCTTTGGGTCATTATTGATGCCGAAATGAACATGGGCTGGCAGTGTGGGGACGCGGTCAGGAAGGCCAACCGCACCTTGTCATGCATCCACAGGTGCATCTCGAGCAGGTCCAAGGAGATGATCCTCCCCCTCTACGCGACACTGATCAGGCCGCAGCTGGAGTACTGCGTCCAGGTCTGGGCGCCGCACTTCAGGAGGGATGTGGACAGCATGGAGAGGGGCCAGAGGAGGCCACTTGCGTGATCGGGGCAGTAGGGCAGGCCCTACGAGGAGAGGGGACGGGACCTGTTCAGCCACCACAAGAGAAAGTTGAGAGGGGGTCTGGTGGCTGCCTATAAACTTGCCAGGGGGGACCAGTGGGGAACGGGAGAGTCCCTGTTCCCCCAAGCACTACTGGGGGTAACTAGGAACAAGGGCCATAAGTTGACCGAGAGTAGATTCAGATTAGACATCAGGAGGCGCTACTTCGCTGTCAGGGCAGCTAGGAGCTGGAACCAACTTCCAAGAGAAGTGGTGCTGACTCCGACCCTGGGGGTCTTCAGAAGGAGGCTAGACAGACACCTAGCTGGGGGCATCCTTTCCCGCCCATGGCAGGGGGTCGGACTGGATGATCTGTTTAGGTCCCTTCCGACCCGACCAACTATGAAACTATTTCTGGCAAGTGCTGATGTTCACAAAGTCACTGACTGTGCTATGTGCCGATGTCCTGGACGCGCTGTGCTCGGCTTCCACCTGCTTCTGCAGGAAGCCAGATTGCGTGGGGCTTTATCGTGGCAGGTGCATGGGACAGACCAAGGGTCTGTCTCGCCCAGGGACCCATCTCTAGCAGGGACAAAGGATGGATGCTTCAAACCAGTGGGGCCTAAGCCTGCCATGGATGGGCCCCGCACCCTCCCTGAGCACGGCTCACATCTCTTTCCCCTGCCTCTGGTGCTCTCCTTTCTGTTCCCTGCCCCATCTGCTGCTCTGCCCTGTGCTTCATGCCCCGTCTGCTGCTCTGCTTTCTGCTCGCTGCCCTGTCTGCCGGTGTGCTGCCTGTCCTCTCCCTGATCTGCCGCATCCCACACCTACAGGCTGCCCATACCACTTGCTGCAGACTTGCCATAGGTTGGCCATCCCTGCTTTAGAGGGAGAATATAAGGAACTGGGCATGTGCCGAGTGACCCTGCCCATTGCCCTTTAGCCGACATCCATGCCTGTTGCGTTGAACGGCCCCTGATGGACCAACCCTCCATCCACGTGTCTGGTCCCTTGTGGAACCCAGTTGTGCCATGTCCTCTGCTATGTCCTGTGGCCAAGACTTCCCTGTGCTAATTTTGGCAATTTACATTTCAGATCCTGTCCACCCCCCTGAGCCGCAGGGAGCACGGTTACGACGCTGTAGTCCTGCTTGCCTTGCTGGTAAACTACAGGAAGTACGAGGTAGGAGATCTCTGCACGCTCACATCATTACATGGGCACCTTCAGCCAGCTCGCGTGAGGGTGCGATGGCTGTCTTTGCTGCGGGTGCTGTTCAGGCAGCTTGAAGCTGCTTTGAAATCCTCCTTTTATCTGCAGTTTGGAGAGAGATCCTGTGCAACAGCGTAACCGACCCCTATGCTGTCGTTAATGGGAGTTCTCTCAGGTTTTTGAATCTGTGCCGCTCTGTCTTTGCAGAGAGCTGCACTGGCAGCCCCGATGGCATGTTAGAAACGGGAACTGAAAGGTTGGGGAAAGGAAAAACATGGTGGTGGACGTTTGAAAGCATGGACTGCACATTGGCTCCATAAGTGCTAATCCCATACAAGATGAGCAACGTCTGGTCTAGCCTGTGTGTATGTAAATGCTCCTGCTGGCACCGACCCCGCAGGGTCCTGGCTGGAGGGTCTTGCCCCTGCACTTGGGCTCAGCCCCACACTGCACTGGGTAGGAAGGGATTTCCCCTCTCCTCAGAGTGGGCCACACTGCGGGGTTTTGCCTTCCTCTGCAGTGGGGGCACGGCTTGGCCTGGGCTTTCTGTGGCGCCCGCAACCCCCCCCTCCCAACAGGAACAGGACATTGGCAGCTGCAGGCCCCCTATATCCCAGGGGTGCGGGCGATGCCTGGGGCTGTGTTGGGGGCGGCTGTGTCATGTGGCTTTGAGGTCGGACACAGGGTTTGTCTGGGCTGGTTTGGACGGGCTGATCCTGCCTTAGGCAGGGCTGGGACTGGATGTGTCCCCACAGCTCTTGGATGCTATGAAAAAAATGCTAATAACCTATGCATGCTTGTACCCAAGTACAAAAACACTTTCTCAGTGGGAATGGTTTTGCTCGCAGTGCACTCTGTTGAAAGCAAGGTTAATAGTGGGTGGGTTAACTGTGTGTGTGTGTGTGTGTGTGTGTGTGTGGTATATTCTGTCTAGGGAACTGCATTCATAGAGCTGTCATGTCTCAGGCCCTGGGCGTAGGATGGGAAGCCAAAACAATGAGCCAAGGTAATGAAGAGCCCTCTGAAGAGATGCTGACCCTATGCCCAGGAGGAGCCAGGGAAACGTCCCATCTTGCAACCCCCTCAAAGAGCTAGACCGGCAGCTTTGCGTCTCTCCAGTCATCCTTATCAAGCAACTTGCTTCATCTTTCCCGTGGAGGAGGACCATGCTGCTCTCTGATCTGCTGCTGTGTCTGCAGATCGTTGCTTTCTTGATGTTGTGCAGAAGAGAGAAAATGAAAGCAGTGGGAAACCCTCCTGTCAGTTCCTCTATGCATGAAGCACTGTATTTTAACGGCCTGTCTTGGGTTTTTGGTTTCAGCCAATAGGACTGGAAAGCACGTGGGCTGGAAATGAGAAGTTTCCTCTTTGCCAGAGCAGCTGGGGGCCGTGGGGCAGGGTTAGTTTGTGAAGAGGGTACGTGGCACAGTGCCTGGGAGCTGGCAGCGATGACCCAGGAAGAGGTCTCGTCTGGTCCTTCCATCCGTTAACTCACTCGCGTGGGCAGTTCTGTGCCAGCCGCGCACCTGATTGTGTTCCCACCGGGAGTTGTGCACGTGTCCACGTGGCTGTATCTGTAGCTTGGTGCTGGGGGTGGTGTGTGCATTACTCGTATTGTTGTAGCATCCACACGCTGCCCACTGGAGGGTTCAAGGAGAGGCTGGACAGACCCTGATGAGGGATGCTCTTGGTGCAGTGATGCCTGCGCTCTGCTGTGGGGTGTCCCAGGCTTCTGGGCTGTGCTGGTTGCCCCCCTGGCTCCCCTTTCTGCTCCATGTGTCAGGGGATTTAATCTTCCCACAGAGGCACTGTAGGTAGAAAGGGGTCTGCACCCATCCACCATGCGTAGCTGTAAGATGCCGCCTCCCCGTTTCTGAGGAAACGTTTCTCTCTCCCTTGCTCCTGAGCGAAAGGACCACATCGCGCTAGGAAATAATTGACAGCACCAGGGAAATAGTGACGCTACCGAGACACACTAACGAGACTCAAAGGAGCATCGCATGCACAGAGCAGGCTTGGCCAAGGGGAGAGGGGACTTTTTCCCTTCTTGTCTCTTCTTAGGCACTGCAGCGGGGCTGGTTGAGAGGCAGGAGGGGAGAGGGGTCACAAAAATATACCCGTCCTCCTCACCTGGCTTTGTTTTGGCAGGGGGCTGTCCCTGTCCGCCCCGGCTGGGCTGCATGGGGGCTAGGGGCCGGGGAAGTGGCAGTGGGGAGGGGCAGGGGGTATCCCCTTCCCTGTACCTGCTCCCAGTGATGTGGCAGGGAGCGAGGAATTACTCTCCACCCTCTCGTTGCTGTCCCTGTGCCCCCGGCCAGCCATGCTGTCTCTCCCGCAGGGTCCATTTGGACTGCTGGGATGGCACGCGTGAAGGTTGCAGGTCCCATGCACCTTGCAAGCAGCTTTGGAGCAGGGGAGTCTTAAAAACAAATGCTTTGGGGCGTACAGGGCCCGTGGGCGGCTCTGTCTGGGGCTGTCTTGTCCCACGCCCACCCCCAGCTGCCTCCTGCTCAGCTACATGGGGGCACAGCTTGGTGCCTCCTGCCAGCGCAAGGACTCGGTTGTGCTGTCTCTGGGTCAGGGCATGGCCGAGCTGGAAGAGGCTGCAGCTGTGATTACAGGGGGATGGTCCTGGGCGAGTTAGCTCTAGGATTTGCCCCTGCCCTGCACCATGGCATTGTGGGGGGGTGCCAGGGACCTCACGCAGCATCCAGGCCTGCTTCCCGCACAGACTCAGCCTGTGCTATTCTGAATCCAGCCTAGCCCTGCGCCCATCCAGCCACTGCATCCCTGGGCAGCTGGTTCCACCATCCCGCTGCTCCTACAGCCAGAAAGATCATTGCAGAGATTTAATCTGCTCCAGTTCAATCCCATTGCCCTTCGCAGCGAGGCAGAGTGGTGTTCCCGGGCTGCTCTTCATGGCAGTTTTTCCAGGGGCTGGAAGCCTGCCCTGTCTGGAACCAGCAGCAGTGAGACTCTCTCTGGCCCCTGGTGGTTTGCAGACTGCCTGGGCCTGCGTCCCTGACTTTGCTCCTGGAGTCTGGGTGCTTTGGCCTCACCGAAAGCACTGAGCTGTGAATAAGGGGAGGAGCTGGTGTTTTGTCCCACTTCCCAGCTGGCCAAATCATGGCACGGAGCATGCCAAGCTTCCCACGATGCCAGCTTGCTCTCAGGAGCCAGGGAGTCCGCTAGCAGGTGGGCCAGCTCCTCGCTCCCTGTCCCCGAGCGGAGCAGCTGTGTGGCTGCGACAGTCCAGCTCTGCGCCCTACCCAGCTGCTGCCTCTGCTCCCTCCTCGGCCTCTGGCCCCAAGTTCCCTGCTCCAAGGGCCTGGTCCCTCCGGTTGGGAGAGGATGAGTCTCAAAGGTGCACGGTCCCTTGCAGGCACGTGGTGGATGGGGGGGCCCAGGAGGCCCTGGGTGCCATCTACTGATGGCTCACCTGGGGATGGTTCTCGCTGAGTTTGTTTCCCCCTTGTTTCCTTGGGCTAGAAGTAGATGTTGCCAATGAAGCAGGTCAGGTGGGCAGGGACATGGGTGACATGTCATGCCGTTGTCCTACCCATTGACCTTGAGGAACAATGGGCAACGTGCCCCGGGAGACTGCCAGGGCTGTGTCTCTGCATGCGGGGACCCAGCTTTCCCCACTTCCAGAGACGTGCCCAGGGAGCACTTCCCTGGGCTAGGGAGAGAGCATGGGCAGTGCTGGGCTGCCCGCACTCTCCTGCCCTAAAGCAAACTGACATCCGCTGCAGTAAAGCGGCACAAGATATTGCTGCCTTTCCTTGCAGCCTCGCAGAAGGGCTGAGCCTGGCGCAAAGGCAACATCTCTTTCCACCCCTAGCAGTGAGCACGTGATTCCTGCAGGCTTGTTCGGGCACGTGAGGTCTGCGGACGTGTCTCCCTCCCTCCGCTGTCTGCTGGAGGCATTCAGAGCACTGGTGCTGTAGTATAGGGTTGTGGTTCTCAACCGCCTGAGACTGCAGGCCTCCTCAGGAAGCGCCAGCTCTTGGCATTCACTTGTCTCTTGACTAGAAAATCCTCGAGTGATTCTTTTGTTGCCAAGAGCTCAGCAAGGCCACGGCAGGGAAGGAGGCTTCGCATGGGGTTGACAAGTTGAGCTGAAGAAGCGCTCTGATCCTTGCCCAGCACGCAGGGGCCGTGGGCCGGCGGTCGCTTCCTCAGTGCCCGGCCTGGCTCAACGTTGCTGCGAAACGGGGCGACTCGGTGATCATGAAGCCAAGGGGACAATGGCCTGGCCTTCAGGTGTTCACCTCCCTCAGCTGCACCCTCTGACCCCGCGCTCTTGCATGCCCTCGGCCTCTGCTCATCTCCGCGCCGACATGCAGCCTTGGAAGAAGCTGTGTCTTAACGAGGGAAAATGCCTTCTAAAGTATTGGCAGCCTCTCTCGAGGCATCTGTCCCCCGGGAGGGCAGGTGACTTGACCATGTCTCCCCAGAGCTGCTGGCTTTCAATGGCTAACCTGGTGGTGCTCAACCTTTTGGCCCCATGGGCCACATGAAGAGCATGGGGCTGGTCCACGGGCTGGATTGGACCCTGCACCCCAGGACCAGGCCCCAGGGCCTCATGCTACCTCTGCCCAGGCTTGGGGACACAGATTGGGCTCCAGGAGCCCCTCGCTCCATCTGCCAGTCCTGTACGCTGGGATTGGGCCCCCTGCCGCCCGGCTCGCCGGGCCACAGCCCTGGGGGGCTCCCTATGGACTGGATGACAAGGTGCCAGGCACCAGACCTGGCCTGCAGGTTGAGCGTCCCTGGCCTGACCTATAAGGCGTGGAGGTGCAGCCTGGGTCATTAGATGGATGGGTCCTTGGTACTGCCATGCTGTCCTGGTCCTTTTCCCAGGTGCTTTTTGGCAGTGGTTGCAAGATGCCCAAATTCTTGGACCTCTGGCCATTGCCCTGTTCAGCCCCCACACTGCTTCTGGGGCCTGCTGCGTGGTGGCACACGTGTCTGATGATCGGTCTGATAACATGCTATTTACCAGGCACTCGCGATTGCGAATCAGATACCACGCCAAGCACGCAGCTGAGCCAGAGGCCAGGCCTAACGCTGTCTCCTCCCCTCTCTCTGCAGTCGGTGAATCCATACATAGTGAAGCTCTCCATCGTGGATGACGAGGCCACGCTCAACGTGAGTATCCCTCGTGCCGCGCTGGGGCTTCTCCACCTCGACCCTGGCTGCCCTTTTACATCAGTGACCAGTTCATGTTGCAGCAAGGGAGGTTTAGGTTAGATATTAGGCCAAAACTTTTTCACGAGGAGGGCAGTAAAGCACTGGAACAGGTTAGCCAGAAAAGTGGTGGCATCTCCACCCCTGGAGGTGTTTAAGCCTCGGCTGGACAAAGCCCTGCCTGGGATGATGTAGTTGTGGCTGATCCTGCTTGGAGCAGGGGGTTGGACTAGATCTGATGTCCTGAAGTCCCCTCACACCCTTATTTTCTATGACTCGAGAGCATCAGAGAGCTGGCGAGTGGGCCCTGCTGGGGTTTAATGCCCTTAACGTAGAAGCATTTGCCTGGGGCTTGTGAGTCTCTGGCTCTGACGCAGGCCAGGGGTCAGGGCTCCCAGCCCTGCTCGGAGGCCAGCAGGGGAGCGGGCAGCCGGGTGGGCAGGGTGGCCCCGGGCAGCAGATCCCCCTCCCACCATCGCGGTGCAGCTTCCCACAGAGTGAAGCCAGTTTCTGTTCTTGCAGGGGATGGGACTCGTGATTGCCCAGGCACTGTCAGAGTACAACCAGTGAGTGCAATCGCCGGCCCCCACACCTCTCCCTCCCTCCTCTGCGTGGTAGCCACAGCCGCCTCCTGCCCTGTTACCACCACCCGCGGTCCCACGGTCTGAGCCTGGGGCACTGTCCCCCCGATCCCGCATGACAGACAAATGCCCATTTTGCTGTGTGCAGTTCTGATGGGAAACCCGTGCCACCGAAAGGAGCAAACCCCTCGGAAAAGGCACTGAAGAGAGGACTTGAGAGCAGCCTGCAAATCCCTGCAGGGCTGCCAGAGAGCAGAGGGATAACCCCTGTCCTCTCCTGCTGCAGGGAGGAGGGTGCAGACCTATGACTTGAAGTTGCAGCAAAGTAAATTCAGATTGGAGATCAAGACAAACTTCTTTGCTGTCAGGGTGGTGGGGGGTGCGTGGGAGAGATACCAGGGAAGCGGGGGATTCTCCATCACTGCAGGGTTTGAGAGGCTGGACGGGCACCGGTCAGGGATGTTCTAAGCTCAGCGATGCCCGTGCTCTGCTGTGGGGTGTCCCAGGCTGCTGGGCTGTTGCCCCCCCTCCCCCTTTCCCCGCCTTTCTTCTCCATGTGTCGGGGGGGTTTAAGCCTCCCCCGGCAGTGCTGGGGATGGGGCTGGGCTGTGCCAATGCTCCTGCTGGCACCAACCCCGCAGGGTCCTGGCTGGGGGGGGTCTTGCCCCTGTGCTCGGGCTAAGCCTCATGCTTCACTGGGGCAGGAAGGGATTTCCCCCCTGCTCAGACTGGTTTGGACTGGGGGTTTGCCTTCCTCTGCAGCGGGGGCCTGACCTGGCAGCATCCATGACCCCCCGGCAGCAGTAGGACGTCGATGCCTGCGGCCCCCGCTGTATCCCGGGGGCGGGGGCGATGCCTGGGGCTGTGTCGGGGTGACTGTGTTGTGTGGCTTCGAGGTCAGACACGGGGTTTGGACAGGGCTGATCCTGCCTTGGACAGGGCTTGGACTGGATGTGACCTCACAGCTCTCCGCCAGCCCCACGGCTCTGGGAGTCTCCAAGCTGGATCAGACCAGGGCCCAGTCAGCCCCGTGGCACCTCAGGCCCTCAGGCTGCGATGGGCATCTACTGCCTCAGCATGAAGGGCAGCCAGCCCGGCAGGAGGGTAAACCCTGCCCCGGGGTGCTCTCCTCCCCACCTCCGTCAGCGCCACCTCCTTCCCTCGCAGTCTGCGTTGGGTCTGCCCTGGACCTAGGTGGGAGCTGGCCCTGTTCTGTCTCCCCTCGGAGGGAGCTGAGCCCAGACTCGGCCCAGAGGGGAATGAGCAGCTTTTTTTACGCTTGGTCAAATCTTGGGATTGTTTTCATGCGATCATCCCTGGGGGTTGCAGACTCCTCAGAGAAAGCCTAGGGCTTTCCTGCCAAACCGCAGCCTCTTTTACAGGAATCCCAGAGCTGTGGGGCTGGCAGGGAGCTGCAGGGTTGCATCCAGTCCAGCCCGGCCTGAGGCAGGATCACCCCCGTCCAAACCAGCCCAGACAAACCCATGTCCGGCTTCGGAGCCATACGACAGTCGTCCCTGACACAGCCCCAGGCATCGCCCCTGCCCCCGGGAAAGCAGGAGGGTCACGGCCGCCAATGTCCTGCTGCTGCCAGGGGGGTCACGGGCACTGCAGAGAGCCCAGGCCAGGCCGTGCCCCCACTGCAGGGGAAGGGGAAACCCCCCAGTGTGACCAGTCTGAGCAGGGGGGAAATCCCTTCCTGCCCAGTGCAGTGTGGGGGTGAGCCTGAGCGGAGGTTTTTGCACAACCCTCTTTCCACTGGTGGGTTGCGCTGGGCTGTGGCGTCACTCGGTCGTAAGCCGTCGCAGCTGTCAGCGCAGTGGTGTTCGCTGTTCTGTGAGGCATTTCACACGTCCCGGGGCGACGTGAGACAGGAGATCAGCTTTGAAACCCAAGCAAGTGCCTGAGTCTTTTTTTTTTTTTTTTTCCCTGTACCCTGTTAAGATTTTTAGCAGGGTTTTGGATCACAGGCTCAACATCTGTCTGGGATTTAAGGTAGTGTTTCCATAAGATTTCCCTACGCCCAGGCTGGAGGAGTCATGTCTAGCACAGCAAACTTCACTGCAGATAACTTGCTGCTTGGACTCTTGTCTCCCCGGGGCCTGAAACCAGCCTGTAGCCCCTCTGCTCTGTGCTGCAGGCAAGGGTTTAGGCTCCTCGTATCTGCACAAGCTCATGAAAACAAAGCAGGAAGGTGGCTGCACTCTCCCAACCTGGTCCCGGCGGCCCCGGCCCTGGCAGGGTGTGGGGTATGATGGTCCCTGTCCTGTGTGTCATGCCGAACCCTCATGCCCTCTCTGCTGTTTGTGCAGGCAGTACAGGGACAAGGAAGAGGAGCACCAGACCGGCTTCTTCTCAGCCTTGACCAACATGGTAAGTGCAGCGGGAGCATTGTTTTTGGACGTCATTTGGGACAGCCTGGGCGAGGCTTGGCTTGGGCTCAGGGCTGGCTCTGGGGGAGAGGGGAGACCCTGGTGTTAGCTCTATGCGGCCTCTCCGGGTTGCCCTCACAAAGGCCAGGGGATGTCTCGTTTCATGCTCCTGTCTCCAGCTCGCCCCATTTCCAGAGCAGCAGGTGTCTGTTCCCTTTCCAAGCAGCCCAGGCCACTGTGGAGACAGGCTCCCAGCTAGCGCGATCAGCAGCGCGTGCCTGGAAACATGCGGGGTTCAGACCATGGCCTGGGCTTTGCTGCTGCTATGAGGTGGCTGCTGGGGAAAGACGGTGGCTGTGTCTTCCCAAGGCAGCTCCCAGGGACTCATGGGGGAAGCTGTGAGCTTCCTCGGTCCTTTGCATTGGCAGTGACTCGGGCACCTCCTGATGGAGGCGGTTGCGTTTGGGGGCCGATCGTTAATGATGGCACAGAGGAAAAAGTGCTATCGGTGGGAGGCATTGTCCAGGCAGGTTGGTTCTTCACCTGGGTCTCCCCTCCACCCGGGCTGTCAGCCGCAGTCCCTGCCAGCCCCACTGTCCTGAGCTGAGCCCTGCATGGTGCTGGCATCCTCCTAAAGCCGTGCAATGCTCTTTCCTTCCATAGGTCGGCAGCATGTTCATAGCAGACGCTGATGAGAAAATCTCTGTCCAGTAAGTGCATGGCATGAGGCAAACAGCAGCATTTCTGTTGGGGCAGGCCTTACCTGCTTAATTTGCGGGGCTGCTTTGCGGCAGGAGGGCATATCCCAGAGGTGGTGGCACCGTGGCCTGGCCACGGGATTGACCACGTGGCTGCAAAGCCAGGGTTAGATTGGTGCTGGGGGAGCAGCAGGGACAGTCAGTCATTTGCTCTGCAGCCATCCTACCACACTATGCGGGTACCAAGGGCGTTAGAGGATTGTTGGTGCCTGGGGGGAATCCCCGTCCATCAAGCTTTCTCCATGGGCCCACGGCTCGGGATGGTGGTTTCGTGGCAGGGCTTGGATCTGGCGTTCCCAGGTCTCACTCGTGCCCCTGGCCACCCGGTTCCGCTGTACCAGTGATGTGGCAAGACTTGGAGCCCACTGCATGCAGACGTGGAGCACCTCAACCTGGGGAGATGAGGGCAGAGGGGGCATCAGGTGCTTCAGCCTCGCGCTGAGTGCTCTGGGGATCCGGGGGCAGGAGAGCAGATGTCTCCCCAGCCCAATACAGACGAGCACACGGCAGCAGGAGGCTGCTCTGCGCTTCCAGGCTCCTGGGCTGTGCTGGAGACTGAGGAAGGCAGGGTCCCTCGTGGGAAGGGGAAGGGTCTGGCGGTGGGACGTCTATACTCATGAGTACTGAGGTTTTGTGGTGCCCGAGGGCCTGGCCTCGTCCTCTCCCACCCCGGAGCCCAATGTCTGCTGGGTGATTGGGTTGGGAGGCCATTGTCACCATGTCCCTTCCCCGCAGGACGAACGAGGCGATCCTGCTGGCCCTCTACGAAGCCGTGCACCTGAACCGGAACTTCATCACCGTGCTGGCACAGGTGGGCTCCCGCGCCGGTTTGCCACAGCTGTCTGATCGCTGCGGCCCTCTCCTCGCTCCTGGACCCTCAGTGCCTTGTTAGAGTGGCGCCAGCTCAGAGGCAGCCGGGAACTGGACCCAGGGGGATGTGGGAGGTGAAATCTCCCCTGCCAGGGGCGAGAAGTAGTGGTTTGGGGGGGTGTTGTCTAGGGAAGGGCCTCAAAGACCCCCTCGGCGCTCCTCTCCTAGCAGAGACGGGCTGGCACCTGCCCTGCAGCAGCCGTGCAGCTGGAATGATGTTCTCTCCTGGCCGTGGCGTTGCCTGGATCTTGAGGCCTCGGGGGTGGAGAGGGGGAGATGTGGAAGGTGCTTGTTGATAGCCCCGGGGGCATCCGATGAAGGGCTCGTGGCCTGCATCGGTTCCCTTTGTGCTGCTAGGTGGCACCCTTATCTCGGCTGACAGCTGAAATATGGTTTGGGGGGAAAAAGGCACTTCAGTGAATCCACACTGTTCTGTCCGGCGGCTGCAAACATGTTTCTGCATAAGATTTAGGGGGAGAGTGCATTTCAAAGTTGTCTTTCACGCACTCATTTACGGGTCTCGGCTATAAGTCAGCGTTTAAAACACACGGATTACGGGATATTGCAGCAGGTGTGAAGCCACCTGCCTGCAGCCCCGCAGACTCGTATTCTCACCAGCCCATCTCCATCGCTTCCCCAGTCTCCAGACTGTCACTGCGTGCGTGTTTATAGGGGGACGACAAAGCATTGTGAGCATCAGCTGGGTGAAAGGTGTTGGATGGAACCGATTCATTCCATCAGAGCCAGGCCACAAATAAGATCGCTGGCTGCTCGCAACCCTCACCTCTTCTGATGGATGCAGGAAATAAATGGAAGCCGGGGAGAATAAGGTTACAGCAGTCGTTAGGCACGGAGCTGTTAGCAGAGATGAGCTGGGGAGGAGAGCCAAGGGGAGAAAGCCGGGAGGATCGATACTAATAACGTTATTTATGTGGAGCTGTTCTCTCCCGGAGCACTCGGGACATCATAAATCTCTGGTGTGTCTTAAGAGGAGGATGCTAGAAAGCGAGGAGCTCCTTTTAAAGCAGAGCCAGGGTTGGAAATGTGCAGCTGAGGGGTCATGCTGAGAGAGCCTTTGGGGAGCGCGGGGGCTTTAGGTGCTGTGCATGTCTGTGGAGAAGGAATGGCAGGGTTTGGGGGTGATTCCCCACTGTGTAGCCCCTCCTGTGTTTGGGTGGTTGGGAGGCAGGATGGGCCCGTGTTGCTGGCAGGGAACGGGTGCTCCATGCAGAGGCCCCGCGTGGCTGTGAGCCCCGCTGACCCCCATGTGCGTCTCCCTGCAGAGCCATCCCGAGATAGGCCTGATGACGACGCCGGCCAGCCCGGTTCCAACGACGCCCGTCACCCCGCTCGGCACCACGCCGCCCTCGTCAGACGGTGAGAGACTCCCTCCTTCTGGGCCCAGACCTTGCCACGGCGCTGCGAGGGAAATGGCAAGGCTGCCTCTCAAGGCGGCAGCTCACTCGCTCCGTCTGGAGAAGGCAGAGCCTGTCGTCTCCTCCTGGAGACCTGGCCTGGGGAGCAGGGGCTCAGGGCTCACTTTTGGGGGGCTTTCTCCTCCCCTGACCTCTAGGAGCCCTCTGCTCTGGGTGCTGTGGCCAGGGGATCCCTCTCCCAGTGCCCCAGGCAGACAGGCCTCCCCTGCTAAAACCTTTTGCCTCTGGCTGTCCCTCATTGCCAGCGTGTTCCCACGCTGCCTGGGCTCATCCCCTGCTCAGCGTGCCCCAGGGTCCAAATCCCAGCTGGGAAGCAGGAGCTATTGCCCCTGGCCTTGCTCAGACAGGCTTCACAAATGGCTGCTTAACCCGAGTCCTGGGGGCTCTAGAGAAGGAACCTTTGTGCTGGCATAAATGCGCCAGCTGTGTAAAATACAGCCCGGCTGGGCTCGGGGCGGGTCGGCTTAACCCAGTTTAAGAGGCAGAATCGAGCAGTGTTTTTCACCAACTTCTTCGGCAATGCCCTGGGCGTCTGAAGGCAGCACCGCGCAGCTCGAGCAGAGCCCCGTCCGGGCGGGCTCTGGGGCGCCAGGTGCACGCTCTGCAATTCGGGTCACCGATAGCCTCGTTCGCCAAAGACTTCTCCTCGCGGCTGCATTCTGCCTGGTTGCCATGGATATCAAAAGCTTTCTGTTCAAGCGAGGGGGAAAAGAAAAAGATCTGGAGCCTCCCCGCGTGCGTGCGCCGGGAGATGCGGAGGGACAGGAGTTGCAGAGACTTCCTTTCAAACGGCTCGCTGCAAATGCCTCCGCCCACGCGCTTTATTATCCAGCTGACAGGGCTGTGCTTACCTACCACGCGCTCGCTTTAATTGATCAGGAAGGAATCAGAGCGCGTGACGGCGAGGCAGCCGGGCCCCGTCCTGCTGGGAAAGCTATTAGGCTTAACGGAAGGGGGATTGAGCTTCACCAACAGCACTCCCGTCGCCTTGTCCCTGTCCCTGTCCCAGCCCCTCGGTGCAGCTGAGAGCCGGGGCTTGGTTTAGCAGTGGAGCTGTTAGGTTAAAGGCGTGTGGGATGCTTTACCCATCGCTTCGTAGGGCCTAGCAGCTCAGCTCTGAAAGCTGTATGGGGCTTGGAGTTAGCCCAGGCCAGCTCAGCCTCTGGGGGAGAGTCTCTGATTGATTGATTCTCTCCTCCATGCACTTAAAAATACAGCCAAGCTGTTTCCAAATGGCAGCAGCAGCAGGCAGAAATCCCTGGCCTGGTCTCCGGCACTCCCCAGTGCTCCCCTGGGCTGTGATCTGATACGGGAACACCCGCACAGGAGAAAACCGGGGGCTTTGCAAGCTGGAGCTGTGACGCAAACCTGGTTTCACAGATCTGTTGCATCCGGTGTCGGCTGCGAGCGGTGGCCCCCTGCTATGCAAATCCAGGGCACCTGTCACCGTAGCAGCTACACGTCGATTCACTAAGTGCCGTTACATGTTCCTTTGCTGCGTTCCTCCCGTCAGCTCCAGAAGGGCCTGGCGGGGCTGCGAGGACTGTCGCTGTGAAGCTGTGGGTGTCTCACACTTGTACGATGAGTGCTGGTGCGGCCGGTGTCTGGTGACGTCCGTGATGTGCCTGGTGCCCCGGAGCCCTTGCCGTGAGGGCAGGAGGGTAGCCTGGGGCCTCGGCCCAATCGCACCGATGGCTCATAGAGTCGTCATAGGAAGGTCGAGCCGAAGGGACTTCATGAGGTCACATCCAGTCCAGCCTCTGCCCCAGACAGGATCGTCCCTGACCAAGTTAAGCATCCGTCCAGCCTGCTCAGGAAAACTTCCAGGGGGGAGATCCCACCACTTGCCCAGGCAGCCTGCTCCAGCACTGGACCTCCTGCAGCGCCAGGGAGTTCCTCCTCATCTCCAGCCTCAGTTTCCCCTGCTGCAGCTCGAGGCTGTTGCTCCTGCAGCCACAGAGAAAAGCCCGTCTCCATCTTCTCTGTCATCATCAGTCACCCTGCAGGGACTTGAAGCCCATGATCAAACCCCACTCGGTCTTCTCTCCTCCAGACTTGGTCACCCCAGCTCTTCCAGCCTGGCATTGTCCATTGTGTCCCCAGGCCCCTGGTCATTGTGGTCGCTCTGCACTGGACTCTCTCCAATCTGTCCACGGCCTCCTGGAAGGGCAGGGCCCAGAGCTGGGCACACGACTCCAGGGGAAGCCTCCCCGGTGCTGAAGAGCAGAGATCCCTGCCGTGCCTCTGCACTGATGCTCCTGTTCATACAGCCCAGGAGGCTGCTGGTGGCTTTTGAAAGCAGAGCAGAGTGGGATGGTGTTAAAGGAGCATGTGGAGCTCCCCAACTCCTCCCCTCAGGCCCCTTTGCTTGGCAGTGCCAGGTTTGTTCCCCTGCTTTCCCACTGCTTGCAAACGTGCACGCTCCACGAAGCGCAGTGGCTGGGGAGAGGGCTGTTGGGGGAAGGATGCTCCATCAGGCAGAGCTGGATGCCGAGAGCTGGGACAAAGGACAGGAAGGGGCCATGTGGGTCAGAGCGTCCCACAGACGGCCACACCGCAGAAACCAGGGCTTCCCAAGGCCCAGAGAGGCACTGCATGACTGGGACGTCATGCCGGGGGCCGAGGGATGATGGTGCTGCGACAGCAAGCAGGATCGTGGGGCTGCTGCTGAGGTCTGCCAGCCCATTCCTCCTCCAGTGGCCAAGGGCAGCCGGTTCTGGGTGAGGGTGGCCACGTCCAGACACTTCGCGGCGCTGGTGGCCTGTGGGCTGCGTGTCGGGAGCCCCTGAGATAATCCCTGTCATCACTCAGGCTTAATTTTTAAACAGGCTGGGGGTCTTTTGCCCCAGCTGCTTCCATGCGGAGAGAGCTGCAGACCCCAGTGGTGAGAAGCCTCCTCATTTCCTGCTGGCGTTTAATCAGGGCTGGTTGATCCCTGATTGTTTGTGCACCAACTTCATCTGCTAGGGTCAGCAGCTCTTTCCCCCTCCCCGGTGCTCGTTGGAATTACGGACTTCAGTCCTGTCCCCGCTCAACCCGTCTTTCCCCAGGGTCAGCAAGCCAAGCTCTCTCTAAGTCTCTTCCCTCCCGGTCCCTGCTTTTCCCCTGATCCTTGGTGCCTTCCGCATTTCAGACCTGTCGTGCCCAGCTGCGGGTGCCCCTGGTTGCAAGCTGCCGTTCTGCGGCACTAGTGGGAAGTGCCCAAAAGTCTTGGATCCCACTGACCTTTTCATGGCCATGGGGCATCGGGCAGCATTGGAGCCCCCTGCATGCCTGAGTCCAGGCCTCCAGTCCCATGCCCTTCCCGGGATAGACACCACCTCCCGGCTCTGGGAAGGGGAAGAAAGGAAGCAGCAGGATAATGACTGGATAATAACTGGTCGGCAAACACTTTGGGGCCAGGTCATGGTGCCAGGGTCAGGTTGAGCATCCTGTGGAAATGCCCAGCCCTCGCTGCCCCCCGCTCAGTGGTGATGCTGACTCTTGTCACCCGCAAGGTCTCGTTAGATCCAGTGGCAGCATGGTTTGAATAAACACGCCGCGCAGCTGCTCGAGTATAAACCAAGTGTAGCCTTTATTCATGCTGCTTGTTGGGGGATCAGATGGCTGGCAGCAGGGACGGTAAATGGTGAAACACAGAGTCTCAGTACCACGGGGCTGGCAGGGAGCTGCAGGGTCGCATCCAGCCCAGCCCTGCCTGAGGCAGGATCAGCCCCATCCAAACCAGCCCAGACAAACCTTGTGTCCAACCTCGGAGTCACGTGACACAGCCGCCCCTGCCCCGGGAAAGCAGGGGGGCCGCGGCTGCCAACGTCATGCCGCTGCTGGATGGTCACAGATGGTCCAGAGACCCCAGGCCCAGGCCATACCCCCACTGCAGAGGAAGGCAGAATCCCCCAGTCCATACCAGTCTGAGCAGGGGGAAATCCCTTCCTGCCCCAGTGCAGCGTGGGGCTGAGCCTGAGCAGAGGGGCAAAACCCTCCCACCAGGACCCTGCGGGGTTGGTGCTGGCAGGAGCACTGGCACAGCCCAGCCCCATCCCCAACCTGGTCCGCAGCACCCAGGGCCTCTGGGCGAGGATCAAACCCCCTGACGTGGAGCAGAAAGGGTTGGGGGGGGGGTGGGCACCTAGCATAGCCCAGAAACTGGGGACACCCCACAGCAGAGCACGGGCATCGCTGCACCTGGATCCTCCCCAAGCGTGTCTCTGGTCCTACTCTTTAGAAGCACTGAGGGCGAATCCACTGCATTGCTCGCATGTGGCCAGTCACGGTTGGTGCCAAGCATTTTAGTATATGCTGATTGATGAACTTAGCTAATTACAGCCTTCTTGCATCTCCTCCCAGGTATGTGCCAGGCTCGGTTATGGTCCTACTTGCTTTTCTCATTGGGCTGTGCCAATGCTCCTGCGGCACCAGCCCCACAGAGTCCTGGCTGGAGGGTCTTGCCCCTGCGCTCGGGCTCAGCCCAATGCTGCACTGGGGCAGGAAGGGATTTCTCCCCTGCTCAGACTGGTGCAGAAAGGGGGGGTTGCATTCCTCTGCAGTGGGGGCATGGCCTGGGCCTGAGCTCTCTGCAGCATCCATGGCCCCCCTGTATCCCAGAGGCGGGGGCGATGCCTGGGACTCTGTCAGGGCCAACTATGTTGTGCGTCTCTGAGGCTGGACACAGGGTTTGTCTGGGCTGGTTTGGATGGGGCTGATCCTGTCTCAGGCAGGGCTGGGACTGGATGTGACCCTGCAGGTCCCTGCCAGCCCCATTTCTCTGATCTGCCTCTGCTCCGCGGCAGCACATGTCCAGAGCGGCTGCTTTTGAGGCTCTATTTTTGGAGACGCAGCTGGGGGCTCAGTGGAGGCTTTGCCGCTTGACCTGCCACGATCTTTGGTCACTGCTGCAGCTCTTGCTCCCTCCCTGCCTCGTGCTGTTGCTGCTCTGCTCTGATCTCTCCCTCCACCGCTGCTGGGGATCTGGGTGCCCTGGAGCATGTGGGAGGGAGATGCAAATGCTTCTCCCTGGCTGCTTTGAGGGCTCATGGCTCAGCGGGGCCATGGCCGGCGTGCTGCTCTCCAAGGGAGGGCGATGCAAACATCTGCATTGCCCGTGTGTCGGTGGACATTTGTTGGGCTGGCAGGTGCCGAATAGAGTAGCAGGCTCATGGGCGTGGGGGACCTGGGAGTGGGGCCATGGTGGGTGCTCGCTGAACCCCCTCCTGGAGCCTGACTCAGGCTCCCTGCAGAGCTGATACCTCTGCTGCAATGCACAGAGGGTGAATGCATCTCGTCTGCTTTTTTGCAGTGATCGGCTCCACGGAGCTGCCCCTGGATGCTGACGTGCAGACCAGCAACCTGCTGATAACCTTCCTCAAGTACAGCTCCATCGTCATGCAGGACACCAAAGGTAATGCCCCAGCTGGCAGCACGGAGCCCCACTGAGGGGCAGTGCTAACGTGCTCAGCGCCTGTGCAGACGGATCTGTATTTGCCCCGGTGTCTCACTGCTGGTTGGCAGCTCTGGAGGGCCGGGAGGCCTGGGGGTGGCAGCATGGTAGGCAATATGGAAGCGGGGAGGCTGTTGTGCAGAAAGGCTGGGGGGTCTCTGCATGTTTCCTTCTGGGAGGCATTGCTAGACCCAGTTCCCAGCTCTGTGCTGGGGAGGGGACGACGCGGGGACTCCATGTCCCGCGGGGCTGCATGTGGAGCTGGCGCAGGAGTTGGCATGCAGTGGTGCAAGGGAAGTTCCCACCGCCCCACCGCGCTGGGTGGTGAGAGGCATGTAGCTGGGGCAGGGAAGGCTGCAGCAGTTCCTACCATGCCCAGTGCTTTTTGGGTGCATGGTAATGCCTTACCCCAGGCTTTGCCTTTCCTGGCATCTGCTCCTTCGGAGCCAGAAGCTCACTAATGAGCTGCCGGCCTCGTCTGCATGGAGCTGCGTTTTCCCTGTGGTTGCACATGCCTGATCAGCGGTTGCACAAGGGACTGTGTTCTCTTCCCATGGTGCAAGAGCCCCGGGTGGGCAGGCATCGTTGTGCACCAGGGTTTCTGTCCAGGCCAGAGCAGGCACACCATCACAGTTGATGCTGCCATGGTGCCTTGTTGCAAAGCCCCAGGCATGGCATAAAGCAGCATGGACCGTGCTCTGTCTCCAGAGAGCCCAGTGTTTCGGGCGAGCAGGAAATGAGGCTGCTACAGGCCAGGCCTCTGCTGGGATTCGTGTTGCTTTTGATGGCTTTTCAGCGGACCCTAGGTGGGCATCCGGGGTGTGGGAGCAGCCACGCTGGCTCTGCCCGGGCTCCAGCATCCATCTCTACCAGGACCCAGCCTGGGTGGTTCTGAAGGAGCGGAGCCCGCATCGTGGAGCAGATGCCCCTTGGCTGGTTCCCGGAGCTGGTTTCACCCCTTTATCACGCATGGCATAAAAGAAGACATTTAGTGCTGGCCTAGCAGTGGCGCAGCCAGCTCAAGTAGCTCCAGGGATGGCATCATTAGTGGGTTCCTCTGGCACCAGCTTGGCGGTGGAGAGCATCATTAAACCTTGTCCAGGCCTCCCCTGCTCACCCGGCACGGCCGAGGGCTGCTCCGGGACCCTTCCTGGGGTAGAGCTCGCCAGCTTTTTTTCCCCGTGGCAGAAACAGGCTTTGACCTCCATGCCTGCTGAGGGGGCATGGGGTATTCCCTGCCTGTAACCAACATGTGAGAAAGGACCTGCAGCCTCTGTAGCAGGAGGTGCTGCCCATGGGCAGAGCCCGATGGTGAGGACCGGCCTGCAGGGGCCAGACCTGGCGGTGGGAGATTTCCCATCGCTGGGCCCGTGCGTGGGCAGAAGCAGCGGTGCGGAGCGCAGCGCGCTCCCCGGGGAAGGGAGCAGCGCCGGGAGCTCCGGCAAGAGGAAGATAACGAGTCTCCGGCGGTTTGGTGCTCTCGGGGCTGGTGCTCGTGCCGTGCTGTCTTTCCTGGCTCTCAGCTTTCCAGCAGCCGGGCATTGTGACCCCCGGCTACCTTCCCCCCGCAATGCACCTTCCCCGCAAACTGCCCAATGCAGCGGGGCAGGATCTAGCCCTTGTGGTGCTTGGTTTCTCTTTAATGACTGCGTCCAGGCCCCAGTAACGAGCACGCTGTCAACCTGCAGTCAGCACCGCCTGCGAGCTCGACGCGGTCTATTTTTATACTGTGCCGGGATCACAGAGCACGTCAGTCACTCGGGAGCGAGGGGGTTTCAAGGGGAGCAGCGAGGGGGGAGGCAGCAGGCTCGTGCCTGGCAGCTGCTGCATGGACGGCGCGCGTTTCCCACGTGTTGGCCTTTGCGAGGGGCTGGGACGTCAGGCCCAGCTCCATGGAGGTCTCGCAGGCATTGCTTTTGAGCAGGCACCCACCTCCGTGGCCGGGCTGGTTCCCAGTCGACATCCCTCTGCCCTGGGCTGTCGGGCTGCTAAGCCAGCGATCCCCAAACCAGGGAGGAGAGCAGAGTATTTCAGGTGCCCTGAAAGGTGCTCGTTGCCCCCTCCTCTCAGCCCTGTTCACCCTTCGCCACGCTTTCCACTGAGTCTTCCAGGACTGGCTGTGCCTGACGGGCTAGGGGGAGCAACAAGCAGAGCAGCAGGAGAAACCCCTTTGCAGGCTGCCTTTGCAATCAGGTGCAGCCAGGACCTTTCCCTTCCCAGCCTCTTGCTGGTGAGCAGGGTCTGGCTGTGCTGGGATTTGAACTTGGGACCAGGTTTCACTGCTTCTGTCACAGCTCTGCGGGCCGCAGCAAGGGTTTTGGCCCTCGGGATGCAACAGAAAGACGGCTGTGTATGTGGGTGGGATCTGGCTGGGCTGGCGGGGTCAGGTCTTCGCTCTTCTTCCGGCTGGGCTGGGGGGGAGACGGAGAAACCCCCGCTGCGAGAATGGGTCCGAGGGTGGCAGAAGCTTCCAACCGACTCGGCAGGGTTTGGTGTTCAGGCTGCATGCTGGCTCTGGGGGGCAAGGCCAGGGCTAGCCCCTCGTCCCCGCAGGGGGTTGGGTCCGGGGCTTCGGTTCCCTGTGTCATTGCTCGGCCGCCAAGTCACGCGTTCCCTCTCCTTTGCAGACGAGCACCGGCTGTACAGCGGCAAGCTCTGCCTCATCATCCTGACCTGCATCGCCGAGGTAGGCGCGCGGCGGCCTCGCCCTGCCCGGGTGCTGTGACCCGGCTCCCCTTCCCTCTCACCACAGGGCAGGGGAGACCTGGAGGCAATAGCTCATCCTTCGTCAGTGTGCCCAGGGCCCTTCCTATAATCAGTAGCGAGAAGCCCAACACTTCCTCTCTGGGCTTTGGCCACTGCTGGGGTGGGGTTATGGGGGGGATCTCCAGCTTGTTCACCCTGTTGTTCAGTGTGAGGTTTGGAGACGGTCAAACTGGTCTGGACTGGGGGGTTTTGCCTTCCACTGCAGCGGGGGTGCAGCCTGGGCCTGGGCTCTCTGCAGTGCTCACGACCCCCCGGCAGCAGCAGGACACTGGCGGCTGCAGCCCCCCTGTATCCCAGGGGCAGGGGCGATGCAGGGGCCTGTGTTGTGTTGGACCTGGGGTTTGTCTGGGCTGGTTTGGACAGGGCCTATCCTGACTTGGGCTGGATGTGACCCCACAGCTCCCTGCCTGCCCTGCGGCTCTGGGATTTCCACGATTTCTATAATGCTCCAGGCACTTGCATGAGCAGGACAGGGCTGGCACCCAGCTCAGCACTGCACTTGAAAAGCCAGGATGTCAAAGAAGGGTCTGCAGGCTGGATCTGGCCCATGGAGCCCTGTTATCTGACCCCTGGGTCTCAACCTGACTGCACGCCACATGCCCCAACCCTGCACGTCGGCTCCAGGACCAGATCGGACCGGGCTCACAGACCACCCCACACCCTGGAGCCGGTGCACGGGGCTGGGCCCACATGGGCAGCTCACCTTGCACCTGCCCCGTGCTGGCTCCGTGCACCAGCCCCAGGGTGTCTGAATGAGATGTGCTCTCCTGCAGCTCAGGCCAGAGCCAAGAAACCCGCCCGGAGCTGACTGTGGGCCCTGCAGCGGACAGCCAGGCCATCCCCATCCTGCCCTCGGCCCTGCCCCCCTAGACGGGCTATATGGGCTGGCCAGTTGGCTGAGAAGCCCTGGTTTGCAGTTTGTTTGCCTGGAAGCAAAGGCTTCTTATTGCAGGCAACACAGGCGGTCCTGTGCCTCCTGCACGGGCCATAAACCATCATCCCCAAGCACCGCGTTAGAGCAGAGTCTCTCGTGGCCCTGTTAGAAATGCTGCCCATTAGCTGTCTTCAGCCTGGGGCTCTCGAAGGGCAGGGAGGCGCTGGCAGAGAAGAAATACTGCTGGCAGGTGGCGGTGGGTGTTCGACCCTGGGTGCTATGGGGAGAGTGGATTTATGGCGGCTCTTGGCCACAGAGCGCAGTGAGATTTAGTGCCAATGTTGGAATGGGATTTGCTCCAGCCACCAGCTCGCTGCCTGCGCTGCAGTATCTTCACAGAGTCATCCTGGAGTCCCGGAGCCGCGGGGCAGGCAGGAAGCTGCAGGGTCGCGTCCAGTCCAGCCTTGCCTGAGACGGGATCAGCCCCGTCCAAACAAACCCTGTGTGTGCCCTTGAAGCCGCCCCAGGCATCGCCCCTGCTCCTGCCCCCGGGATACAGGGGGGCCGCGGCCATCAATGTCCTGCTGCTGCTGGTGGGTCGTGGGCGCTGCAGAGAGCCCAGGCCCTGCCCCTGCTGCAGAAGAAGGGGAAACTCCCCCAGTCTGACCAGGGGGGAAATCCCTTCCTGCCCCAGTGCAGCGTGGGGCTGAGCCTGAGCATGGGGACAAGGACCCTGCGTGGTCGGTGCCAGCAGGAGCACTGGCACAGCCCAGCCCCAGCCCCGGCTGCAGCAGCACCAGCGCCTCTGGGGGAGGATTAACCCCCCCGACACACGGAGCAGAAATGCAGGGGGCATTGAAGCCCTTCCATAAACCTCATGCTGTCTTGGGGCTGAGGCCTGGCCCCGGCAGGATGTCCCCGTGCCTCCTCCAGCGGGTGCCCGAACTCCCAGCGCTCCTGGCAGCTGAGCCCAGGGAGCGATTACCAACCAAACCCTGGGGACACGGGCCTCTGCTCAGGAAGGGGTGCCTGGGGCTGGGGGTCCTGAGGCTGGCAGCCGAATGGGGCAGTGGGGAGTGAACCCACATTTCCCATGGGGCAGGGCAGCTGTTGAACCCATAGCTGGATGACCAGGCCCATCTTGCCTGGTCTCCTATGTCATGTGGAGGCTGGAAGGGAGAGTGACTGGGTCTGAGCAGGGTTTTTCCCTCAGGGAAATCTCCCTCCTTGGAGGTTTTCAGAGCCAACCCCTGGCTAAGCTGGGTTAGGTGGGCAGGGGGCTGGGCCGGTGGTACCCTCTGGGCCCTGCCAGCCCGGCTGATCCGTGATCCATGCGCTGAGCGTTTGCCAGGCACGCCTTGGCGTTGGTGGCAGTCGGCGCTGCATGTTTCTCACCTCTCCCCGTGCCCCCTCCATAGGATCAGTACGCCAATGCCTTCCTGCACGATGACAACATGAATTTCCGAGTGAACCTTCACCGGATGGTGAGTCTCTCCCGGACAGGCCCCGGCCTCTGTGCTTGGGGTGGGGAGCACCGAGGTTTGAGGCCCTCACCCACCGGGTTGTTGTGTCCTGCACGCCAGCCTGGGGGTGCCCACGAGAAGCTTTGCAAGGAGTGCTGCCGGTGCCTTGGCCCGATGTTCCCTTGAGAGGGAGACGCATAGCCACATGCCCTTGTTGGCTTGCTCCGGGAGCTGAGCGGGCACTGGCCTGGAGCCTGGGTCCAGGAGAGGACGTGCCATGCAGCTTGGCCGGTTGGGGAGCCTCCTGCTTCAGCAGCTCCTTGGGGAGTGCTAAGTCCGGTGTCGTGCCTTGGCCTGTGCTGGTCACGGTGTCCTGGGCTCAGTCCCCAGCTTGGTCGGGAGCCCATTAACAGAAGGGGGAGGCATCCCCTTGGGTCTGCCACCCCACCGCTGGACCTTGCTCCTTACAGATGGGGGGAATCTTCCTCAGCGGTTTTCAGAGGCGATGCTAGGCTGGGCTGGGATAGCCAGGGAGGGCCCCACCCGGGCTGGCAGAGATGCCCCTAGGGCCATGCCAGCTGCAGAGAGTGGTCCAGAGGGCAGTGGAGGCAGCAGCAAGACCCCAGGCACTCACGTCCTCATGGAAAGCAGATAAGGATGCTCACTGACCCCCATCCCTGCCCTGCATGTGTTCACAGCCAATGCGGCACAGGAAGAAAGCAGCCGACAAGAACCTCCCATGTCGTCCCCTGGTGTGCGCGGTGCTGGGTGAGTAGTGCCGGGGCTGAGGCTCCCTGGGTTGGCCTCAGGCCTGCTGCGAGCGGGGCAGAGCAGTGCGATTGTGGGGCAGCTCGGGGGTGCAAAGACGTGGCATCTTCCCAGAGACTGTGTGGTGGTGGGGAAGGGACCTGCTGGGGGCTGGCTAATAGAGCATGGATGACCCCGGGCTGGACAGCAGCCCGTGGGGGAGGACCTGGGAGGCTTGGTAGATCGCAGATCCAAGGCGAATGCATGAATACAAGTATCAGGTGCAAGATGTGGGAGATGATCATGCCTCTCTGTTCGTCACGGGTCGGGCTTCATCTAAAGCAGGGAAAGGTGGGCTCTGCATCACTGGAGAGGTTCGAGGAGAGGCTGGACAGCCACTAATGGGGGGTGATGTAGGTGCAGCGATGCCCGTGCTCTGCGATGGGGATCTCCCAGGCTTCTGGGCTCTGCTGGTCACCACATGGGGCTGGGAGGGAGCCCCCTTCCACGGCCTCTTCTGCTGCACGTGTCTGCGACACACGTCACCGAGCTGGGCCTGTTGCTCGCTCTTCTCCTGTGAATACCCTGAGCGGGACTCCAGCTGCCAGCTGAGCCCCCAGAGCCTGAGCCTCAGGCAAGCGACTTAGTCACTGCAGAGACAAGTCTGCCGCTGCCTTGCTCCTGCTGCCTTGCTCCCGCGTCGTTGCTATAAATATGCGGAGGGCTCTGCACGGTACATCTCCAGAAACAAAGCTCTCCGGCACACATTGCCCCTGGTGAAAGCTTCTCCCAGGGCATCGTTCTTCCTGGAATTTTCCATCGGCAGCACCATGAAACTCGAGGGCCTTTCTGTGCCTCGCAGTCAGCTGCGTTGTGGGGGGGTTCTTGAGGGATCCTGAGGGTTGGGGGAGGGCGCATGCCACAGAGCCAGCAGCGCACAGATACCACTCGTGGGGCTCCCAAGAGCTGCTCCTTCTCCCAAGGAGCCACGGGCAATCCAAGCTCAAGAGCTGGGTCATTTGTCTTGTGGGGAGGGGTTGCACGGGCTGCACTGGGGACTGCTGGGCGCAGCCACAGCTGGTTTGATGGTCACTGTGTCCTCTTCTTCCCTCCCCTCTCAGATCTGATGGTGGAGTTCATCGTGACACACATGATGAAGGAGTTTCCCATGGATCTCTACGTGTAAGTGCCGGGGCAGCTCCAGCCTCCACGTGCAGAGACGGGGCCGTTCTAGTTCCACCACTCCCCTCCCTTGCCCAGGATACTGCTTTTCGGTGGGGGAAGTGAGGGGAATTACCGGGCTTCCCACAACCCCTGCGCTTGCCGTGTTTGGTGACCAAAAGGAAATGATTTCTGCCCTCCCGGGGAGCTCTCCTCATCTGCCTGATTGAGCACCGACAGTCCGGCAGCAGGGAGGCATTTCACCCACCATCGTCACAGGCCCCCGAGCGACACCCCGAGCTGGGAGCAGTTAGCCAGCTGCCAGTCCCTTTCTCCACTTCCACTCCAGGCCCTGGGGAGTTGTGCAAGCAGACAGCTGCAGTATTTTCCAGGGGCTGTGGCTCCAGGCATGATCTTGACCCAGCCCCTGTCCATGTCCCAAGGCCAGTGGGCTCGCGTGGCCCCATGCTGGCTTGGTGCGCAGTGGGAGTTTTTTGTGGCAGGGCCAGGCATCGCAGAGCAGCAGCAAAGCCCTGGAAGATGCTGCCTGTGCGGGTTGCACTGGACTCCCCACCGCCGGAGCAAGCAAAGGTCATTGCTTGCAGCTCCGTGCACGTTGGCAATCGTTCTCATCACCTTTATGGCATTGGGACTTGCAGCCGCAAGGGTCTCCAAGGGCAGCCAGTCTGGCCTGTGGATGTGTGGTGGACCTGCCCAGAGCTGAGACTGTTGGCCTGTGCAGACGCCTCCATGCTCCTGAACGTTTCCCAGAGAGCTGTGTGTGCATGCACACGTGTGGGCAAGCACTAGAATCCTCCCTGAGAGGCATGCCTTGTGCCGTGACACCCCCAGCACACGTGAGAGTGCTGCTACTGTGTGAGGCCTCCCTTTTGCCTCGCCAGGGCTTTGATCTCACTGCCCCAATGCGTTGCGTGTTGACCTGGCCTCTCTCTCCCCCGCTGAAGGCGCTGCATCCAGATCGTGCACAAGCTGCTGTGCTACCAGAAGAAATGCCGAGTGCGGCTGCACTACACGTGGCGGGAGCTGTGGTCAGGTACCCCCCTTTCTCCCACCCCTGCTCCACGCACCCCGGGGGCTGCTGCTCCCACGCCAGGATCCCGGGCCAGGTGCAAACACTTGCAGCTGCACACAGCTGGTTCCCTGGAAGGGCTTTGCTTGGATTTCATGGCTGCCGCAGGTGAATTTTGGCCTCCTCTGCAGCGCTCTGGGCCTGTCTCGGATCCCTTAGCATCATGGTGCCTGGTCCTAATCACCATGGTAGCGAGTGTCATCAGCCCTGATTGGGGCCCTGGAGGAATGGGCTTGAACAGAGCATTTCTGCCTTCAGGCGCTGAGAAAAGGGGAGGGCTTTTTGGTGTTTCAAGGGGGGCTGGCAGTGCTGGACGGGGACCCAATGGGTCCCAGGAGCCCGAGCCGTAGGGCGATGTCTCGGCCAGGAGGCAGCATGGAGGCGTCTGCACAGGCTGCAGGCAGAGCTCCCACCCCCGAGCCGGGGAGGCCGGAGCCGTAGGGCGATGTCTCGGCCAGGAGGCAGCATGGAGGCGTCTGCACAGGCTGCAGGCAGAGCTCCCACCCCCGAGCGAGCCCGGAGGTTCCCCCCCACCCCCAGGACTGGTTTTGCAGCTATCGGTGCGAATGGCTCCATGGTTGAATGGTCTCGCTGGCAGGAACGGCGCCAAGCTTAAGCTCTCCCTTTCTTTGTGTCCTTCCCCCCCGCCGGGGGAGCCAGGGGGGTCCTGGGAGGCTGCTGCTGCTCTCGCTAATTAGCTAGTGTTTGTACAGGGTTTAGCAATGTAAAGCACTTTAGGAGAGCAGGAAATACTGCTCAGGCTGGTGGGGAGCGCTGAGGGAGGGGTGTGCAGGCATGCGTGTGCCATGCGTGGTGCCGTCGGGAGCGCGCTTGGGTTGGGCATCCATCCTGTGGGCAGAGCTGGAGGGCATCTGGTGCTTCCCCTGTAGCATCGCTGTGTTTCTAGGAGGTGTGTGCTGCCAAGAGGAGCTGCCCTGGGGTGACAGGCATGTCCTGGCCGGGCCTGTGTCTGTCTCCCGGCTGGTTCTGGCTCTGGGACCTGCTGCGCTGTTAGGTTTCTGGCCCCTGTTTGAGCACTGTTTGCTCTCCCCTGGCTCTGGGACAAATGCAGGGGTGTCCTCCCAATGCCTGGGGCTGTGTCGGGGTGACTGTCGTGCTGCTCCAAGGTCGGACACAGGGTTTGATGGGGCTGATCTTGCCTCAGGCAGGGCCAGACTGGATGTGACCCCGCAGCTCCCTGCCAGCCCCACGGCTCTAGGACTCTGTGGTTGAACCGTGGAGGCCTCGCGCTGCTTTGTGAGCGCTGCGAGCAGAACAGTTGTTGCTGGAGCCCAGCTGTCACCAGAGCCCAGCCATCAATGTGCCCTTGTCCAAAGTAGAGAGGCTGAGCGGCTGTGGAAGAGGGGCCGTTCCCTCTCGGAGAGGAGGCCTCACCCTCCTCCTGCATGACGTTACCGTGGGGCTGTCGGCACGTGGCCATTCCCCCATTTCTCCCATGACTGGTATTCGGTGTACCCTGTACCTCGGGGACGAGCGACTGCCCCCACCCGGCTCTGGTACGTGCAACGTGTGCACTCAGGATCACGGGGCAAGAATTGCAGTGTCTGTCAGCAAATGGCGGCTTGTGTACTGGGAGCCCACTAACACGGGGGTCCACTTGTACCCCCCTCATATCACAGCATCCCAGAGCCACAGGGCACGCAGGGAGCTGCGGAGTCGCTTCCAGTCCCAGCCTGGCCTGATGCAGGATCTGCCCCGTCCAAACCAGCCCAGACAAACCCCGTGCCTGACCTAGGAGCCACACAACACGGTTGCCCTGACACAGCCCCAGGCATCACCCCTTGTCCCCAGGATGCGGCGGGGCCGCGGCCGCCAACTTCCTGCTGCTGCCAGGTCATGGGCGCTGCAGAAAGCCCGGGCCAGGCTGTGCCCCCGCTGCAGAGAATGGCAAAACCCCCCAGTCCAAACCAGTCTAAGCAGGGGGGGGAAATCCCTTCCTGCCCCAGTGTGGTTAAGCCTGAGCGCAGGGGCAAGACCCTCCAGCCAGGGCCCTGCAGGGTTGGTGCCAGCAGGAGCATTGGCCCAGCCCAGCCCCATCCCCAGCCTGGGCTGGAGCAGCACCAGCACCTCTGGGGGAGGACTAAACGCCCCTGACGCATGGAGCAGAAAGGGAGGTGTGGGGGCAACCAGCACAGCCTAGAAGCTGGGACACCCCACAGGAGAGCGCAGGCATCACTGCACATAGAGCATCCCCCACCGGTGTCCATCCAGCCTCTCCTTGAACCCTCCACTGATGGAGGGTCCCCCTTCTCTGGCATCTCTCCCACGGCCTCCTGGCTCCGATAGGGAAGATCTCCAATCCAAACCTGCTTTGCTGCAACTTCCAGCTATGGCTCTACGTCCTGCTCTGCAGCAAGAAAGTACGGCTTCTCCCACGGCTCCACCACTCGCTCCTCTCCTGTGTCCGGGGATGCCAGGCCTCCCTGCAAAGGGAGAGGACCGTGCGGCGAGCCCAAGAGGACAGAGACCGGCAGCTGGCTGTTCAGTCCGTTCATCACTGATCCTGCTTCAGGCAGGGCGTGTACTGGAAGTGACCTCTGGGGGGTCCCTGCCAGTCCCACGGCTCTAGGATGCTATGACACGGCAGCCCTTCAAGGATTCGCAGACTATGGCCTGGCCCCTCTCAAGCGCCTTTCCCGCAAGCTGAGCGTGGCCAGCTCCTTCCCTCGTGGTGAAAGGCAGGTGGGTCTGGAAGGGGCAGAGAAGGGGGCCTGTCTGACGAGAGATCAGGGCTGCGTTATCCTCATGCAGCGAAGCCCAGTGGTTGCAGTTGGCGTCTGTACATTTGCGGGGTGCGAGGAACCCTGTCAGCCCCTGAAATGTGGGGAAAAACCCAGCCTTGACTGCCTTTGGGCTGGAGACATTGGGAGGTTTCCAGTCAGGCGCCTGGAGCATCCTCCAACACAGGACTGGTTTGATGATGGAGCCTGGTGCCTTTCTACTGAGGCCAATCCAGGGAGCCCCGACTCGGGGTCCCAGGCCCCATGCCCCCACGTGCAAAACCACTGCACGTCCTCGCACGGGGGACTCCTGGCCAAGCACGAGGCCTGCGGAGAGGGCAGCAAGGGGAAGTTTGGGCAGTGGCTCCAGGTCCCTGCTTCCCCGGGACGCCCCCCAAACTGGGAGGGTAAGATCAGGGGTTGCCTGGGCTGGTGGGGAAGGCCTATTAATTAGCTGGAGCAGGTTGTAAGTAGTGGGCAGGGGGCAGAGCTGCGGGGCTCTGCAGGCTGGTGCTGGGCAGCCGCGTACAGCGATGCCAGAAGGGCCTTCTTGTGACTCACCGAAGCCTTGTCTAGAAAATACCTCGTTTCTCCAGCACCTCCCACCCGGGCGCTAGTGACAGCCTCTGGCTGGGGGCTGCCGGGAGCAGAGCCCTTCCTCCCAGTTGCTATGACTCGCGGGAAGGGGCAGCCGCGTGCCCGGCCGACGAGGGGCTGCGCGTCCCCGCGTAATTACAGGCTTAAATCACTCCTCAAAATCTTTCATAGCGATGCCGCAGCAATTCATTAGGGCAGCTGACGGCAGAGCAGAGCTTAACGAATCAGCTCTGCTGTCAGGCAGCAGCCGGCGGCGGGTCCCAGGTTACTGTCAGATAAGCGCCCGGTTTCTCCTCTCCTAGCGCACCTCGTTTGACAGCTGCCGAACTCCACGCTGCAGCCGGTGCCCTTAAAATACACATCCCCGGTCGCTGTTTCGGCACCCAGCACCTTGAGTTTTCTCATTGCAGTACCTCTAGGGATAGACCGAGCTTGGACCGAGATTGCCCAATCTGTCTTGTCCTCGGTTTCTGTATGAGCCAAGTGCGCCCTTGTTGCCAAGAAGGCAAACGGCATCCTAGGCTGCATGGGTAGGAGCGGTGCCCGCAGATGGAGGAATGTGATCCTTCCCCTTTATTCAGCACTGCGAAGGCCACATCTGGAGTCCTGTGTCCAGCTGTGGGCCCCCACTGCAGAAAGGATGTGGACACGTTCGAGAGAGTCCAGTGGAGGGCAATGGAAATGGTTGTGGGCTGGGGGACAGGACTGGTGAGGAGAGGCTGGGGGACCTGGGCTGATTGAGTCTGGAGAAGAGAAGACGGAGGGGGATTGAATAGCAGCCTTCACCTCCCTGCGGGGGGGTGCAAAGAGGATGGAGCTGGGCTGCTCTCAGTGGGGGCAGATACAGGACAAGGAGCAATGGGCTCAAGCTGCAGCAAGGGAAGTTGAGGTCGGGTATTAGGAAAAACTGTCTCGCTGGGAAGGTGGTGAAGCACTGGGACAGGCTCCCCAGAGAGGTTTTGGACTCTCCGTCCTTGGAGGTGTTTAAGTCCCGGGTAGACAAAGCCCTGGCTGGGATGATGCAGTTGGGGCTGGTCCTGCCTTGAGCAGGGGGTCGAACTAGATGTGACCTCCTGAGGTCCCTTCAACCCTCATTTTTTATGATTCTGTGATTCTCTGTCTGCAGCCTGGGGACTCTTTGCTTGCTGGAGCAAACAGCAGCTCTGGTAATGCAGGGACAGGGAAATGGGTATCTCTCAGCAGTGATTTCCGGGCGTGCGGGTCTGGCTCCAGATGGCAAGCAGCCCTATTGCTCCCTGGAGCTCTGCTCTGGCGATTTGGAGGCCTGGGGTATTGACCGCCATTAGCTTTTTGCTCCGGGTATCAATCGGGGAGGTGTCGGTGCATCGCTATGCACAGCTGAGCAGTGTTTGAAACTGGCTCGTTCCATCGGCGCCACCAGTCCCCAGCCGGCTGGCACGGGCTGCAGCAGCTGTCTGCAGGGGCTGCCCCTCTCCATCCCCCGGGGAGGCTGGATCAATGCCCGTGCATCAGCCAGGCAGGGAGGGCAGTGCTGCTGCTGGCAGGAGAGCGATGGAAGAACCCGTTGGTCCCACGGCCAGTGGCTGGAGAGAGGTCTCACAGCCAGTAGCCCTGGCCTGGGCGTCACTGCCCCCGTTCAGCTCATTCAGCTGTCATGATACGCATGGGCAGCTGGGAGGATAACCAGGGTCAGAAGGAGACAGGATAGGTCCCGCTGGCCTGTCGCGAAGGCTGCAGCCTCCTCGTGAGGACATCCGCGGGCTGAGGACGCTTGGAGCTGCAAGGGGAGAGAGGCAGGGTCTGTGGACAGGCTCTGCTGAAATCCCCTCCCCTTTGCCCTGCTCTGTGCCACTGAGGGAGCTGGAAGGAAATGTCTGCACGTTGCCTCTGTGCTGGGGGCTCCAGGCCTTGTTGCACCGCAGAGCCCCCTTCACCTTCTCCGTGCCCATGGCAGGTCACGCGAGCCCCGGGGGGGGTGGCCAGCCAGCCAGCCAGCCAGCCCCTTGCTGCAGCTTTCGCCATGCAGCCACCCCTGCCAGCTCGTCCTCCTCCACCAAGCTGCCGCAGCACCCCAGGGTGCCTTGAGACCTTTTCAAGGGTGCCGCACTAGGCTGCACCCTTGAAAGGAGAAACCTGGAGATTTCCAGTAGGAGCCGTAGGGTTAAAACCATCCGGTCCGGCTGCGTCTGCGCTCTTTGCATCAGAAGAAGGATTATAAGATTTCTCTGTAGGCAAAAAAGGAGTGAGAGCTCAGAGCCGGCATTTTCCGAGCGGGGCTGGAGTCTCGCAGGGTTGAGGACAGTTGCTCTGGAGCCCGGGACCCAGAGCAGGTCCGGAGCCAGCTCGTGTTGGCGGCTGGGGGGGCGGCACGGGGCAGGAGCATCTATGTTTTCTAGGGGCTGGTCCCCTTCCTTCCCCCTTTCTGCTGCTGTCCCCGGGTCGGCTCTGAGTTCACATGGCCATGACAGCCCTGCCACGCAGGCAAAGACAGAAACCATTGCAGCGGTGCCTGGAGAGGGAAGGACCTGGCCTGACGTTGCACCGTGAGACACTGTTTCCAAGCAGCAAACAACAAAGGGCTCTTTAAATCCTGCCTTTACACCCCTCACCTTGCGCTCGCTACCTCGCTGGGCAGTTTGACGTCCCAGACCCCCGGGAGCAGACCTGGGGAAGCTGAGGGCAAGTCCAGAGCTTGCCTGTGGTCCTGGGCAGTTTTCTGTACGAGACCATTGCTGGGAAAGCTGCTGCTAGCCTCAGCATTAGCCCAGACGTGTCTGGGGTCTGTTTCCATCTCTGCAGGCGTTCAGCAGTGCAATCACGCTTCACGAAGGTGACTTGATGAGAGCCCCTGAAATTAGCCCTGATTGCTTTCAGCTTTTGCTGCGCTGGGCACCTCTGGGGTCTTGTCCTGCTGTGTCTCCACGTCTGAGCCAGTTTGCCCTCCGCGGCCAGCACGGGGAGGTAGCACATCCACGGTGGGGTGGCAGTACCACAACTGGGGTAGCAAAGTGGCCAAAGTGCCACGTGTGCATTGTGCCCTGTGTCTAGGCAGCAGCGATGGCCGAGCTTTGGGTCTCTGGGCTCCGGCGGGGAATGCGGGGGCCAGGATGGAGGTAGCTGGAGGTCCCAGCAGGTACAAACACTCGTTGTCAAGCATCTCAACGGGAGACGGAGTAGATTTGACCTGCAAAGCAGTGAAGGCGAATAAACCCAGGACTCTGCGATATCTGTTTCCATAGGAACTGCCGTGTGCTGGGTCAGACCCAGGTCCGTCTTGCCCAGTCTCCGGTGTCACGCGGCAGCAGAGAGCGGAGGCTGAAGGGTCCCAGCAGGTTCCCCCTGCTCCTCTCGCCCTTGCAGCCTTTAGGGTCCAGGCAGGTCCGATGCAGCGGCCGTGCCCGCGCTCCCTGCTCAATAGCGACCGATGCTCCTTTCCTCCAAGCACGTGTCTGACCCTGGTGAATCTGGCTGAGCTCTCAGCTCCCACCGCGTCTGGGGGCCACGAGCTCCCCCTTTAATCTCAAACTGGGGGAAACAACATCCTGGTGTTCATTTTAAACTGCCGGCCTGCTCATGTCATGCTGTGACCCCCCCCCCGGTCTTTGTCTAGTGAGGAACAGTAATAAGTCCCTAGGGACTTTCTCTTCACTACTGAGTCTTTTGGAAACACTCATGTAAAACCCTCCGGCTGATATGGCCATTAGAAATCAGCCGGCTGCCTGGAAGGTCTCCGGGCCGGCGGGGGCCTGGGGGGTTGCAAGAGCGGTGACTATTGCTGTTCTCTCTCGTAGCTCTGATCAACCTGCTGAAGTTCCTCATGTCCAACGAGACGGTGTTGTTGGCCAAGCACAACATCTTCACCTTGGCGCTCATGGTGAGTACGGGGCCCAAGAAGCAGGGGTCTAGGGCTGGGGCTGTTTGATCTGGAGAAGAGGAGACTTGATAAGCTTTTGACTACAGCAAGGGTGGCTCTGTGACGGGGCGGCGATGGCTTGTCCGCTGTGGACAGAACCAGATATCAAGGGCTTGGGTTGCCACGGAGGAGATTTAGGTTGGCTATTAGGAAGGACTTTATGGGAACGCATTGCCCAGACCGCTCGCGGGGTCTCTATCCCTGAGAGTCCTTAATTGCAGATTGGGCTGTTTTAGACAAGGATGATCTGCCCACAAGGGTGAGGTTGGACTAGGTGACCCAGGAGCCCTGCCAGCTCTCTTTCAATAGCTCCCGCAGGCTGGGTAGCCCCGTGATCGGACGTTTCCTCCAGAGCTTGGCCCTCTTCTGCGGAGTAAACCAGGAGCATTCGGGTTGGGGAAGACCAGGCCGACCCCATGGGAGAGGGGGCATGTGGTGTTATGCAGATGTCTAGGATGCCACCTTCTCCAGTGGTGGCCGAACCCTGGGATTGGGGTCCAAGCCCTTGCACACAGGCCCAGTGCTCCTGGGAACACCCCCCACCGACCCCACCCTGGCAGGGAGAGGGCTTTGGACAGCCGTGTTGCAAAGAGCATGCCTGGAAAACGCAACCTTGGGGCTGGGGTGGGTCCAGTCACACTTCCTAGTCGTGGCAGCTTCCCTGCCCAGCAGAGCCACAAGCCAGGCTGTGCCGCCAGCCAGTGCAGTGTCGTTAAGTCCCCGACCCGTAACGAGATGGCAGAGCCAGAGAAAGCCAGTGTCAGGGGTGACAGAGGACTGGACAGGTGTCCGTGGTTTGAGTGTATGTTACGGCCTGTCTCTTGCAGGTCGTGAACTTGTTCAACATGTTCATCACGTACGGAGACACCTTCCTGCCTACGCCCGGCAGCTACGACGAGCTGTACTACGAGATCATCCGCATGCATCAGAGCTTCGATAACCTCTACTCCATGGGTGAGTGTCCGGCCGAGCTGGGCCGCTGCAGGTCAGACCAGCCTGCACGTCCTACCTTGGAGGCCCCTGCTTGCCCTGTGGTTGCATGCACAGGTGGGCATGCATGTGCTGGCACACGTGCCAGGATAGGAATTGAGGGAGGCTCAGCTTGTAGAAGACTCCGTGTTCTCTGATGCAAAAAGCACAGTGCTTCTTTCCGTTACGGGTCAGCCAGGGAGCAGATGGCGTGGGTGGCCTCTTGCAGGCAGCGAGAGTGAAGGTCAGTGCGGCCCTGTCGCTGTGACTGAATGCTGGCAAGAGCTGCCACGGTGCATCAGTCTTCCAGCTGGGAAAGCACGGCCTCAGCTCCAGGGAGAGAGCAACCCGATGCAGGGCCCGGTGGCAGAGCGCAGCAGGCACTGTTAATGCAAACAAGGAGCCTGGACAAGTGGCATAGGGGGCTCCCACCATTGCCAGAGCCAAGCAAGGAAGCCAGTGTGTCCTGTCCTGTCCTGTCCTGTCCTGTCCCGTTCCCCACAACCTGTTTGCAGAGACAGCAGCTTGCTGCACGCTGGCAAAGAGGGGAAACGGAGCTGTCTTCAGTGCCTGGTCTCTGGGAACAAGTTACAGATATCACGCAGAAGCAGGATCAAGCCGTGTGAATGAAGCCATGTCCACGAACAGCCGCAACCGCCTGCTCACCTGCCCATGTGCCCTCTGCCGATCCCTGTCCCAAGGGGCATGTTCCTCCTTGCCAGCCCCACAGAACTGCCTGGGATGGCATAGGAGAGAAGACCCTCCAGGGCCAGGGAAGAGAGGGGCATTCGCTGCCGCACCTGCACTCATGCAGCCTCCTCTGAGCTGGGGATGCGTGCTGCTGCCGCAGAGCCTTTGTCCCATGGCCAAAGGGCCAGGGAGGCCATTAGGGCCCAGAGCAAGCCAGGAGGAGCCCCAGCCTCCCAGGAACCAAGCGCCTGCTCTGGGCAATGGTGCCTGGGTGTCCTCTGGGCAAAGCTGGAGAGAAGCGGAGCGATGCAAACTCCTTCTCCCTTGGGACAGCTGTGGGTGTCTGAGCCAGGAGGTCTCGTTGGTACCAGCTCTGGGTTGCTTGTTCCCTCCTGGGCTGACTGTGAGCAGAGGCTGAGGTTCAGAGGAGGGGAAGCTGGAGCCTGGAGGGCAGTCGCCCCTCAAGGGTCTCGGCTGCGGGGAGTTGGGCCCAGGGCATCTGCCTGGTCTCTGTGTGAGTCTTGGCTCCACCAGGCCGACAGATGGATCTGCTTCTTGAAGCCAGGTGGGTGGTCCCAGATGGACCCGGGCGGGTGCTGCCCAGAGGGCGGGGCGGGGGGTGTGGGGGCCTTCTCACATAGGAAGACAAGATGCACCTTGCGGGGAGACTCTAGCCCCAGAAACAGCATCGTTGGGCAGGTGGATCTGGAAACCTCCACACTCCCATGCGATCGCTGCCAGTGCAGATGAAATGCCAGGACTTGGACCCCTCCCCTGCTTTGTCCTGTGCTCAGATGCCAAGGCCGTCGGAGCCCTGGAGCCTCATGGCTTTGAACCTACCCGAGCCGCGGGCCATCTGGCTGCAGTGCCCCGGGGTGCCCTGCCTCTTGTGGAGCCTCTTCCATCCTGCTCACCGGCCTGCTCGAGCCCATCTGTGGCGGGACCAGCACAGGAGCGCTAATCCCGGTCTGCAGCACTGGTGGCTGGAGAAGCCGAGAATTGCTCTCTGCTGGGATAGGCTTAAATCCCTGGACATCGTCCAGTGTGGACAGAGCCCAGAGCCGACGGGAACCAGAGCAGAAGGGGATGAACATGGAAAAGCTGCCGGGGCTTAGTGCATGCACACGCAACAGGCTGACTGCAGGGACCAGGCCATTTGGTGCCATGATAACTAGTAGAGCAGACATACCACATGCAGTCTTACCCCAGTAAGTCCCTGCAATCCAGGATAACATTACCCCTGCGACTGCAGGTTGTATTGGTGAATGAGCTGTGTGTCTGTGGCCTTGGGCAGTTCACCCCAGGGGAACCCTTTGCTCGACCAGCTGGCTGTCCACCCCTCCAGCTGTCAGGGGCTGTCATAGCCCCTGCTCCAGGCAGCCAGCTTGCGAGGGCTCCTTACCGTGGGGTAAAATCCAGGCACATTGCATTGCGTGCTCACGCTGTGACCCGTACAGAGCTGATACCTGGAGGAATCGCATGCAAGATACAGACGAGGTGTTGGAATCAAGCTGGGGATCAGTCACACAATCAACACACGCATGGTCATGCATGTGCGCATGCTCACACTCGCATATGCATGCATGCTCCCAGGCAGCACACGCCTGCACACCTGGTTTTTGTCCCTGTTTCCTGTACGCAGCCTCCAAGGCAATGGCCTGGGCCAGGGCCGAAGTAGGAAGCCTCGCGCTGGGCTGGGCTACGTCCCTCAGCTCCATTCTCTCGTGGGCGCTGGGTGCTTTGACCTCACTGCATCCTTGGCCGGGCAGGATCAGGCCATTGCAGGCATCACGCTGGGGCTGGTACAGGCTGGCAGACCCACCTCTCTCTCTCTCTCTCTCTCTTCCAGTTCTGAGGCTTTCGACCAACGTGGGCCAGTGGAAGGAGCCTGCGAGCAAGGTGACCCATGCACTGGTCAACATCAGGTGAGGGGTGGAGCTGGCCCCTTCTAGGGGGCTCCGGGCTGCTGCGGGGCTTGGCAGGGAGAGGAAGGGGGAGAGCCAAGGGCTGTTTTCTAGTGATGGATGCTTTGCTCTGTCAGGGGCTCCGAGTACCTTGAGCCTGGCGCGGGCACGTGTGAGCTACTCCTCCCGGGGGCAAGCAGGCAGCAGGGGAGAGCGCGGTGCTGGGGGTCTCCCATGCTGCATCCCGTAGCAGCTCAGTCCTGCCGCAGGACGGGGTGTCTGGGGTCCCTTGCTTTAAGGTGCTGTTCGTGGCCCCTGCTCCGTTGGCACCCGTGAAACCCTCCAGCTAAAGGGCCGGTGCGGGGGGGAGTGACTACCCTCGTGGACAGGTTGTTCCAGGGTGGTGACAGGGTCTGTCCCTGCCTCTGAAGCCAAGCTGAGGGCGCCACGTGGGGCCGAGGGGAGGTGAGAGAAGAACCTACTGGTAACGTGTAAATTGAGCAGTGGAACAGAAAGTGGAGGGGCGGGGGGTGTGTGCGTGTGTGTGCACGCACACATGGGGTGTGTATCCGTGTGTGTATGTGTGTGGGTGTGATTATAACTAAGGTACCTGCCAGTCAATGTCCTTTTTGCACCCTGGACGCTGTGCCTCCCTGCCCCGTTCATTGTGTCAGGGGGTTTAATCCTCCCCCAGAGGTGCTGGGTGCTGCAGCGCGGGCTGGGGATGGGGCTGGGCTGTGCCAATGCTCCTGCTGCACCAACCCCGCAGGGTCCTGGTGGAGGGTCTTGCCCCTGTGATCAGGCTCAGACCGACGCTGCATTGGGGCAGGAAGGGATTTCCCCCTGGTCAGACCGGTCGCGTAGGGGGGTTTTGTCTTCCTCTGCAGCGGGAGCACGGCCTGGGCCTGGGCTGTCTGGAGCATTTATTAACCCCTGTTGCAGCAGCAGGATGTTGGTGGCCGTGGCCCTCCTGCTTTCCCAGAGGCAGGCGCGGGGGCGATGCCTGGGGCTGTTTCGGGGTGACAGTCGTGTGGCTCTGAGTTTGGACACAGGGTTTGTCTGGGCTGGTTTGGATGGGGCTGATCCTGCCTTAGGCAGGGTTTGGATTGGATGCGACCCCCACAGGTCCCTGCCAGCCCCACAGCTCTGGGACTCTGATTTCCGTCCCGTGCAGCCCATGGGCGCAGCCAGCAGCAGGCTGGATGTTGCTCGGGGCTGCTGGTCCCAACATACTCACATCCCAGCGTCAGGACTGCAGGGCGGTTCTGCTCCTTGCACCCACCTCTTCCCTGGCCCAAGTCTCAGCCTCCCAGCAGGAGGGTGCTGAGGGCCAGCTTCCTTCCAGCACCCTGGGAGGTCCAGAGGCACTAGGGAGATGCCGCGCTCTGTCCGCGCCGCCTGCTCTGCAGTGCTGGGACTCTGTGATCCTCATTAATGCAGTGCATGGCCGTGCCGGGGGAGCGCAACCTTCTCTTGGCGAGAGGGGACGTGTCCGCGCTGACTCAGCAGCCACCAGCTCCCTGCAGCGACTCTGCTGCAGCTGGGGGCTGGGGCGAGGCTGCGGGGGCTCGGTTGCAGAGGCCGGCGCTGGCAGCATAGGGCCGCTGGGGCAGTGAGGCCGGGATGTCGCCACATCACACCCAGACCTCTCCCTTCTTGGTTGTTCCTGCTGGCCAAGAAGCAGCCGCCGGGTGCAAGGCGAGGGAGGCTGCATCTCGTGCCCTGAGGCCTGGCCTCAGATCCGGGCAGGTTTCAGCTGCTCCAGATTCTGGCTCCTGCTTTCCTTGATGAGGATCCGGAGATGTCCCCAAGGCTCCTGAAAACTGCTGCCCTCATTCTGGACCGGTTCATTGGTGCCCAGAGGTGCCCGTCCAGCGCCCCCTTGTCGTACCGAGGGAATCTCACAGGAGTCCTGGCTGTCCTCGGCCTAAAGGCACAGTGCTGTTTGAGACTGTGATGGATGAAGATGCCACAGCCAGACGCAGTTACCGGGCTTAGGACTGGAGCCCCTGGGTGAGACTTAATGTCCCGCGACCATCTGATGTTCCTGCCCTTGAAGGCTGTGGCTGTGCGGGTGGAGGAGTGGCAGGGAAGGAGCTAGCAGGGAGAGCTCATGCCCCCAGGCTCTCGCAGCCACCTATCTAGCGCTCCCACGGGTCCCGGAGACCTGGCCGTGCCCCGTGGGGGGAGAAGGTGGATGGTAGAGCAGAGTCTTACCCATAGCTTGCAGCTGCCTGAGGTGCCACCACGTCGGGCCTGGAGAATGATTGCTCTCCTCCTCCCGTAACAGCTCGGTGCCTCTTGGAAGCGGTCGATGAAACCCTTCCACCTTCCTGCTGGACGCTCAGCGCCCCGGGACCCGGCGTGTGTGGCTCCCTAGAGCGGCGAGAGGCCGGTGGTTTTCCCTGTCTCACTGCCTTGCCGGCTAGTTGGGACCAGCCCTGGCATTCATCGGTTGGAAAAGCAACCTTCGCACCTAGGAGAGAATAAGCAACTTTGGAGCCAAGTCGTTCTTTGAGGCTAATGAGCCCCTTTCAGACAACACCTCCCCCGTTGGCATTTAATGAGGCCCTTATTAATGCCAGGTTCAAGGGGGCATCTTCTGAGGGCTGGCGGCGCTGGCGAGGTGGCGCCTGCATCGCTCTGCTCCTTTAATAAACTCTCCCCTGAGCCATGATTTCCTCAAGGTGAATAAATAGATTAACCCAGTGATGAATGAACTGAACCGCCTGCTGCCGGTCTCCATCCTCGTGGGCTTGCCATGCAGTCCTTTCCCTTTGCAGGGAGGCCTGGCATCCCTGGACGCAGGAGAGGCGCCTTCAAATCCGTGAAGCGCTGCCATGAAGATGAGGGAGAGCACCTCTTCTGTCTTGCTGCGGAGCAGGACATGGAGCCATGGCTGGAAGTTGCAGCAAAGCAGGTTTAGATTGGAGATCAGGCAAAGCTTCTTCACCGTTAGGGCTGGGAGGGGTAGACACCAGGGAAGGAGCGGGGGAAATCCAGGGATTTCCCCCCTGCTTGGACTGGCGCAGACGGGGGGGGTGGTTTGCCTTCCTCTGCAGCGGGGGCACGGCCTTGGCCTGGGCTGTCTGCAGCATCCTCGACCCCCCGGCAGCAGTAGGACATTGGTGGCTGTGACCCCCCCAGTATCCTGGGGGCAGGGGCAATGCCAGGGCTGTGTCAGGGGCGACTGTGTTGTGCTGCTCCAAGGTTGGACACAGGGTGTGGGCTGGTTTGGACGGGGCTGATCCTGCCTCCGGCAGGGCTGGGCCTGGATGTGACCCCGCAGCTCCCTGCCAGCCCCGCGGCTCTGGGATTCTGTGGTTTGCAAAGCCGTGTGCGCAGCGGCGATGCCGGCTGTCTATCCGGATGGTCGGACCATCTGGGACCAGCTTAGAGCCAAGCAGGTTTTGCAGAAGGCCTCACGCTCTGCTCCCCTTCCCGGGGGATCATCCCTGCTTCTCGGCTCTGGCGCTGGAGCCTGCAGACAGCTCCTTGTTGCTCTGCACTGTGAGAGCTGAGGCCAGCCTGGGGGAAGGTGTGGGTGCATGGGGAGCTGCGAGGAAGCGGAGACCCGCCACGGCCTGGCTGGAGCATGGCTCTTCCTGCCTGGAGAGATGGGGCGCTCGGGTCTGCATGCTGCTGGCATCAGAGGCGGTTGGAGGGTTTCCCCAGGGGGGACTGAGGCTGGTCCAGCCACGCGCCAGCCCAGGAGGGGCTCTGTGGAGAACCATTGGGGACGTGCAATGCTGAGCCGCTTGTGGGGCACCCTTAGCGGAGACCCCCGGCGCCGGACCCTCGATGGGCTGACAGTAAGGCAGCTCCCCTTGCACGACCAGGGGCCTGACCCTGCTGTCCTCTGTGCTTCCATCGCTTTGATTGCCTAGCCGGACAGGAAACCTGCTCTGGTGACAGCATAATGACTCAATTAAGCTGTTCGCTCAGGTGAAGCGGTAACTACCTTTGATGCACTGCCACCGCTAATCAGGCCTGCCCCATCTCCCCACCCTTGTTCACGCCAAGGCAGAGAGCATCTTTGGGGGTCGTCGGGTCCTTGCTGAAAGGGGCCAGGCTGGAGCCGCTGATCTGCGGCTGCCAGGGAGGTCCCAGCAAGGGGCAGGCAGGCAGGCGCTGAGCCAGGGGTGCTCACCCAGGGGGCCACGAGGTGCTTTCAAGGGTGTTGTGGGGTGTCACACCCCGTTAGCACCATCAGGCATGCAAACGGGATCACAAGCCTAGACACTGTGCATAGGAATCCATTGCCGGGGTCAGCCCGAGGCCTTTGCAGCACAACCACGGCTCTAGTATTTTTCTGTAGGCAGAAAAAGAGTGCAGACTAAGAGCCGGCATTTTCCCAAGGGGACCGCAGGTCCGGAAAGGGTGAGGCCCCCGCTGGTCCAGCCTGAGGAGTAGCTCATGCTCGGTGCAGGGAGAGAGGGAAGGATGCTCTTGTACCTTCACTTGTATTAAAATCCCTTTGTGTCAGCATTAACCTGGCCCCCCTGAGTCTCCCGAGGAGGCCAATAGGATAATTAACCTCGCTTTGCAGGTGGAAGGGTGCGGTGTAGACTCGACAGCTCGTGCCGTAGAGGGCATAGGAGGAGGCCCTGGATGTAGGGACTGCCTGGGAGATCCCTCTGTGTGTCCCATCCTCGGTGTGTTTGCCCTGTCGTGTTGCTGCTGAGGGGTCTTGGCGTGGCAGAGGTGCCCTGGAGCTCTCCTGCCACTGCTTCCTCTCCTGCCGTGCACTTCCTCGTTGGCAGTGCCGCCCTCAGTGCCAGCTGAGCCTGGTCCGGGCTGGTGCTTTCCCCTCCTCCGGGCGACCAGGGGCAGCCTGAGAATCCCATCCCATCATGGGGCAGGCATGCCAGGATCCAGCTGCGTCCTGCCTGGGCTCTCCATCCCCCATGGCTGGTCTTGCACCTGGATCCCAGGCCAGTGCCATCCTGCTTTATCCCCCCATCTCATGCCCCAGCTCCTGTGGGCAACGGCCCCATTCCAGGGGCAGTGCTGGTTAGTGA